AATGTTTACTCAAGGACTCTGTTTATTGCATTTAAAATTACAGTGTATATCTCTGGAGAAATATGTATATCTACCTTTAGCGGCTTTTTATTGTGGACTAATGCAAGAAAATTCCTACCAGAGTATTGCACCATTGTTTCCATTGGGGATGTAAAGTTACAGAAGCGTTGCTGAGCTGTGGCCATAGATACTAGTAAGGAATGGAGGCTCCGCCGGAGGACGGCGGGGAGCAAGCACTTGGACGTGGGTTGTGACTGCTTTTGGAAGAGCCTGTGGTTTGGGCTCCCACCTGTTTACAGACCTTTTTTTTTTCTCCTTTAGACTTTAAAATTTAAAAAAAAAAATTAAAAAGGAATTTAAAAAAAAAAAAGACTTCCGTCATAAAGAAACCTATTTTCAGAATGCAGACGCGCTACTTCAGAGCTCTGGGATTGGACAGTGCTGGCCCCTGTGGCCATCGTCGTGGACTCTGTCGATTGTTGTCGCCGCTTCATCCAGTGACGAGGCGCCGTGGTCACTGATTGCACATGCCGGACGCGCTCTCAGGAAAGCCAGGGCTCCCGAGGGCAGCTCCACAGCATTTCATGTATTTTTAAGCCCAACTCCTAGCACTGAAGATGTTACTAAAAAACAAAAACTTTAAAAAAAAAAAAAAAAGAAAAAAGATTTTTAAAAAACCACAAAGAAGAAAAATACCTAATCTTTAATGTGTAGCAGTTACATATTTACCAAATAATGGACTCAAAAGAAATAGATGTTTGAAGAGTGCTTTATATATAAAAAATCGCTTTATGTTTTAAAAGTGATCAATGTTTTGTTTTGCAAGGACAAAAGACAATGGAGTAACATACCCTCAAGTATGTTTTAAAAGATATATATGAACATTGTGCTCCCTGCCTGCTTGATCAGGAAACCTGTGCATTACATTTTTTTTAAATTAGCTTTTTAATGGTTTTATCAAAACAAAAAAAAAAAAAAAGGAAAGGAAGGAAAGTCCTGCACGATTGCAGATCCACAAAGCTGGTTTTATAGAGGATCATGACCTATGCACAGACTGGGTTCACGGCGTTCCCCAGTCCGTAGTGTACTTAGCTAACAGACTTCCTCAGAGTGATTGCATCTCATCGCCATCGTGCACACTCCGTGTATCTGACGTGCACGTACCCGAGTGTGCACATCAGATACATGTGTGTGCGTGCATGCGTGCGTGCACACCCAGACATACAGCTTGCCATGCTGCCGTTTAGCACTGAGTTGTAGAAAAATTCCTGATGTTTTGAAGTTGGGGGTCAAGAATCTGTTGTTTTCACTTTGTTTTTCCCCCTTTTGTCTTGTTCGAACCTTTTATTTTGAATTTAAGATGTCTATAACTCTGAGATTAAAAAACAGATTTGTGGCTCTCAGTGTTTTTCTTCATAGAATGTGATTATTGAAGAACATGCACCGAAAGTTGCTCTCAAAAGTACAACGCTTTGTTGAATCTTAATAAATGGCAGTTTTTTCTTGGCTGTTCAAATTACTGTGTCTTATTTTTCAAACATCAGGCATGGTGGTGTCAGGCGTGGTAGTACACGCCTGTAATCCCACTCTCTGGAGGCTGAGGCATGAGGATCGCTGTAGGTCTGAGGCCAGCCTGGGTTACGTGGTGGGACCCTGTCTGAAGACAAGACCGTGTCGTCCTTGACTGAAGCCCGAGGAGACATCCTGCCGTATGTGCCCAGCTCCTCTTTCACGATGTCTTCAGGATTTACCTGTATACTTAATCTCGGTTTTGGTTGACAACTTCATTTGTTTTGAGGGCTTGCTGTTGACATTTAAATCTCACTGATCAGGGCTTCAAACTTCACTGGCTTCATTCTTCAGAGAACTGGGTAGTGTGGGCCAGCGGTAGTGGTGGGGCCAGAGTCCACTTCAGCACCTGGAGGACACCCTGGCTCTCCCCTAGGACCCAGTGTGGACATCGGAAACCACAGGAGAGTAGGAAGATCTTCATGCTTCCTAGGTTTTGTTTTTGTTTTTACAGTCCTGGGGACAAAACCCACTACCTTCACCCCAAGCTATGCCCCCAGCCCTTTTTATTTTTGAGCCAAGGTCTCCATAAATTGCCCAGGATGGCCTCAAACTGGCAATCTTCCTGCCTCAGCCTCCCAGAGTGCTGGAATTACCACCACCACCACCACCCCCGCCGCCTCCTAGATATTTTGTCTGTTTTTATGGAAATCACCTTAGCTAACTTTTGCTGAGCAACTTGTACCAGCAAGTGGAACTTCAGTGCTAGATAAAGCAGCAGCCCCACAGAACTCTGGATGGCAGCAAGAACAGGAACCTGCTTTGTCTTCATCCTTGGAACAGGTGCCGGGTGTGGCTGTGTTCTGTGTTGGGGTTTCCCCTTCACTGATACTACAGAGCATCCAGGGACCTCAGACCCCTGCCTGTGGCCCCTTGGGCAGGGGCACCCTGGACTGAAGAGGCAAGCCCCACGGCGCATGCCACCAACTGCTGGCTATCACCCACCTCTTCTGAAAGTGGAGAAGGACGCTGGAGAGGCCGTGATACAAGAAGAAATTATTTGGAGAAGAATGAAACTCAGATGGGACCTGCAGGGCGTGCAAGGCATCAGACTCCCACAGCCTGGGAGCAGCCACTTGGCCCCGCCTGCAGACCCTTAGCAGCACTCTGACCTGCACCTGGAAGGGGAAGGGTTGCAGGCAACACCACTTCTCTGCAGAACAGGTCCAGGGCCTGTAGGATCCCCAGAGATACAACGGGCTTCACAAGGAAGAGGTATCTGCTCTGCAAGGCCAGGTTGGACTCTCGACAGTCTGGGAGTGCAGGGGACAGGTGGGCAGCAGAACAGCCACAACCCCGAGTGAGGGTGTTGTGTGAAGCCTCGTGGGACTGGATGGGGGCTTCTCGGTACCCACCGGTGAAAAGGAAGCCTGATGCCCAGGATCAAGGAAAAGAGAGGTTCAGAGCTGTACCCTGTCTTCTGACTGACAGCAGCTGAGGAGGGTGAAGGCTGAAGGCAGGGTGTGTGGCAGTAGTGGCTGTGGTGTTGCACAGGCAGCTGCTGGAGCAAAGGAGAGGCTGGGTGGAGGAGTCAGGCCGGCCCCGACTAGACATAAGGACAGGCAGAAAGGCCAAGGGGCCGGCCCTGTGCAGTGGGGGCAGCATGGCATCAGCGGCCATTTCAGGATTCCCTGCCAGAGGAGAACCCTCGGGTGCACCAAGGAAACCAACACAGCATCACGGTGGCAACAAGCACTTAAGTTTCCAGCTGTGCACATCCCTGTGCCATGCTGGAGCTCCTGCTGCCATGCTTGGAATGTCCTGGCCGGCAAGCCCGGCTTTGCAGCTGTGGACAAACCAGAAGCACATTTCCAGATCCCCTACGTGGCCTCCTGCTTGACGGGCTGCGCTTGTGACCATCGCTGGGGCAGAGCTGCTTGGCCGTGATGCGTGTTAAATTACCGGGAACTGTTTGGAGCCCTGTCCTGAGCACCACCTCACGCAGTGTGGCACCAGTGTCCCACGTCTCCCGTGGGTGCCAGTGGGCAGCAGCAGCACAGCAGAACCTCACAACTCAGCCGAGAGGCGCCACTGTCAACCTCCCCTCCACCCCCACCCCCACCAAAAGAGCAACCTGCAGCTTCCAGGCCTCTCTGATCTCACCTGGCACTTGATTCGCTTTCTTTTTTCTTTGTAAAGGAAACCTTGAAGCGCAGGGGCTGGGGGTGTAGCTCGGTGTCTTAAGTGCTTGCCTAGCATGAAAAGGTGCCCGGTTCCAACCTCAGCACCACACAAAAAAAGAAAAAAACCCTGTGCTGGTTGTGGTGCCGAGTGCTTCCGGGAGCTGTCATTTGCAGCAGTGGCCCCATGAGGTGAGGAACCAGAGTTAGGTCACAGGACATACCAAGCGAGCGCCAGCCAGCTAGTCCAACCCACAGGGCTGCCTGGCCTCCCGACACCACACGGGCTAGCAGAAGAGGCAAGCTACTGTCTCCTACAAGGAAGTCTTCCCTCAGGCAAGGGATCTGAAGGCCACACTATAGATCCAGGAACAGAACCAACCAGAGACAGAACTGGGAGCCAGTAAGTTTAAAACTGAGGCCCTGACAGGCGGACACAGACTCAGGGAACCTCGGTGTGCTCCCACATCAGGACCCCCTCCATTGCCAGCTGATGTGGGTGTGAAAGCCCCTGCACTGTCCCTCAGCAACACCCAGATGCCAGCGGAGGAAGTCGCTGGGAGCTACAGCCTGGCTCGGCAAACAATTCTACAAAACTCCCCAAGACAGTTCTGCTTCTGTGATGGTCCCATGGAGTTAATGCAGCTGACATAGACCAAGGCTGATGACACTGCAGTGACCCTGGCACAGCCACTACCAGAGACGAGGGCTGGTCCCACGGCCCCAGGTCAGTGGCTCACTTGCTGGACTGTCTGCTTGGCTCTGCCCTGCACCAGCAGCGCCAGCATCAGCACCAGCGACCTGCAGAGGCCCCGAGGCATCCCTTGGCTGCATCGGCCATGCTGGGCCAGGAAGCCCCTCCTACTGGCAGCAGCAGGCCCACGAGGTCCAGTGTACACTGGTGACTAAGGCTGTGTCAACCGACAGCATCTACCTGCACCCAAGTGCCCCCGACTGGCCCCCAGCAGGGACAGCACTGGTGGGCAGAGCCAGCAGAGAACAGCCAACGGCAGCCACGTGTCCTTCCCCATAGGGGTGAAGACAGGCTGTCCTCCTCCCTGTACCCATTTCCCCCTGCCCCCTCCAGGCCGTCTGCCTGCTGGCTTGTTTCTCCTCACCTCATCCCCATGGAGCCCTTCGCTAAACCTGCCTCCCTCTCTGCACCCCAGTAAGCAGGCATCACCTGCTGCCTGGCCTGCTGCCCCTTGCCCACTAACCCAAGCCCTCTCTAGCCAGTCTCTGGGCCTCCACTCCTGGCTGCGGTCCCCACGGCAGTGAGAGGGGCTGGAGGCAGGCTCAGCTCCCCAAAAATCCATTTTGCAAAATCCATTTAATTGGAATAAATAACATCCCAGGGCAGGGCCAGGCAGGGGAAGGAGCGTCTGTGGGGAGCCAAGCCCACCGCCCACCCTTCTAGCTCCATCTGGGCCCAGCTACACACTGCAGAAGCCACCACTGCACCACCGTGTCTCTGTCGGGGCGTCAGGTCCACGTCTCTGCCCACAGGACCATGGCACTGAGGATGGCGGGGGTGTCAGACGGCTCCTTGCTGACCCATCATCTGTCCCCAGCATCTGTGACCAGGGCAGCTGTCTCAGCCTCCACAGCTCTGCCAACCCTGCCAAAGATGGAAATGATTGAGGACCCAGCAGTGTCCCTCCAGCCAGACAGGCAGTGCTGTCCCCATGTGCTGCCTTCACTTCCGGGGGCAAAGGGCACCCTGTGGGCAGAAAGGCAAGGTGGGGAGTAATTCCCAAGAGGGCGCAGCTCTTTCACCCCCGCCTTCCCCTCCCCCAGCTCCCCCACCCCCACCACTGGGAGGCAGGGGTCCCACAGAGGCTGCAGTGCAGTCCAGTCTGGCCCTGGCCCATCCAGCCGCACAGGCCGCAGCCTTTCTGTGGCCTTTACCTGCTCCTCTCCTTCCTCTCATAGACAGCATGAAGCCTGTTGATCAAGAAGATTTTGTCCTCCCCCTCCTAGAAAGGCCGGAACAGAAAACAGAACTGACCATCCCGTGGTCCTGCAGAGCCAGCCTGTTCCACAGTGTAAGCCTGTTCCACAGAGCTTACGAGCAACATTCAACATCACAAGTGGTAAAAAAGTTAAGGAAGCGTGAGTTCGATCCCCGGTACGGATAAAAAGGAAAAAGACAAAAAAAAAAAAGTTAAGGAGAAACCAAAAAAAAAAAAAAGGAAATGGACGTATTTGTGGCTTTAAGCTTCCTAGTGGCCAAAGTGAACAAAGAAATGTGATCAGCTACAGAGTGGGCCCACAGCCAGCTCCAAATTTCAAACTGGCCCTGCCACTTACAATCTGTGTCTTGGGCAAACTGCCTGCTTTCTGCCCTCAGTGCCACCATCTGACAAAGGTGTAAGACAAGCTGGGGAGTTTGTGTATGTTTCTGTTCTTTTTGTCTTTTTAAGACAAGGTCTCTATGCAGTTGAGGCTGGCCTTGGGTTCATTTTGTATCCAGGCTGGTCTCAAACTCACAATTCTCCTGCCTCAGTCTCTGAAGTGCTGGGATTACAGGCATGTGCCACACACCCAGCTCATGTGTGTGTTTCTTGTAGTTGCTGTCACATACTGTTATACACTTTAGTGGCTTAACATATCACACCCTTGGCTTCAGGTCGGAAGGTCAGAAGACCTGAATGGTGTCGGCAGGGCTGCATTCCTCCCAGCAGCCCTAAGGACTACCCACTTCAGGCCTTCCCGCCTCCTAGAGGACAGCCAGTCCCGGCTCACACCACTTTCCTCCTCTTTGAAGTGAGCAGCAGCTGAAGGGGCACGTCCCGACTTCACAACCCCGAGCCTCGTGCCCTTGTCACAGTGAGGACCCTGAGGTCATGGGCCCCACAGACAGTGGCCAGCAGCCTGCGCCCCAGCCCCTGCCACAAACAGAGTTCGCTGGGCCCTGCGCTCTTCAGGTGACGTGAGAAGCACGTGGAGCATCTACACAGGATCTGGTCAGTGGTCTCTGGTCCAGGCAGGGGCATCTTTCTGCTGAAGCACAGGGGCCAGGTTCTGGGTCCCTAGTGACCAGGCTCGGGCCAGCAAGGCTGCACAGCAATACCAGTGTTCCTCCTCCTAGCAAGCTACCACTGACAGGGATGGAGTCTGCGTCTGCTGGGCCCTGGGGGCACCATGGCCCGGGTCAGCCTGCAATCCCAGGGAAGTGAGGGCAAAGCTGGGATCGCCCTCCCAGCACCAGCCTGCAGCGGACACCAGCCCAGGCCACCAGGCCCTGCAGTCAGTGGCAGGGAGGAGTCCCTGCCCCACTCGGCAGAGAAACACCCAAAGAGCCAAGTGCACAGGGCAGAAGGAAAGGACCCCGCTGGGGTGCTGAGGTGGGCACGGGGTGGTGCTGGGGCCTCCGTTCCCACCTAATAGCCACCTGCACCTGTGGACACAAAGCCTTCTGCACTGTGCTCACGTGGTCCCATGTCCAGCACAATGCAGCACCCAGAACCTGTGGAGGGAGTTACTCTGGGAGGGGTGTCCTAAGCCACCAAACTGAACAAAGCCTTACTTCCTTTCCTGAAAAATTGTTTCCAACTGGACGTGGTGGCGCATACCTATAATCCCAGCCCTTGGGAGATATAGGCAGGAGGATCACCACAAATTGGAGGCCAGATTGGGCTGCATAGCTCAAAACCAGCATCAACTACATAGCAAGACCTCTTTTAAAAAAGGGGTTGGGGATTGGGGGTTTAGCGCAACGGCACAAGCACCTGCCTGGCAAAGCAGAAGGTGAGTTCAATCCCTGGTACCAAAAAACACCAGTGTGGTTCGCCTGCCCGGCACACTCCTAGCATGTGGGGAGGTCATGGATTTAATCCCCAATACCATAGGCAAAAGAGTAATAAGGTTTTTTGTTTTGTTTTTGTCTTTTTCCTTTTTATCGGTACCAGGGATCGAACTCACGACCGCCTGCTTGCAAGGCAGGTGCTTATGCCACTGAGCTAAATCCCCAGCCCCAAGAGTAATAAGTTTTAAAAATTTTAAAGAAATCTCAACCCTTTCCACCTCACTCCACTATTTGTCAATGAAGGCACTGGCCCCAGTCTATGTCCCAGCGTGGCCCCCAGGAAGTCCAGTGTCCCAGAAATCTCATGGGCATCTACCCAGCAGGCCCCACGCCCCGAGACTGTGCTCCCTGCAGAGCTGGCAGGCAGGAGGCAGCGGCGGAGAAGGCACTCACGTTGCGGATCTGCTCCTTGAGGAGGCAGATGACCTTCCTCTGGCCTTTCACCACCTGGATGTTGAGGTAGATGACTGCCCTGTGGGAGACGGCCGTCAGGCTAGCGCCTGTGCCAGTGGTCTTCGGTCTGGAGGTCCCCAGCCTGCCCAGAACTCACATCAGCAGGGCGGACGCCAAGAAGAGGAAGAAGGTGTTCTCCACCAGGTACCGGCGCAGCCAGGACAGCCACTGGGCCCCGGGGCCCGCCTGCTCCAGGTGTCGCACCCACACGGTGCCTGCCTCGTACATGGTGCGCAGGGTCCGGAAGGGGCCGCAGGTGTCCGAAGGCTTCACCCTGGTGAAGGGGTCAGAACCTCAGGGCCACGGCCCCCTCCCAGGCTCTCTCCCAGCCCCTGATGAACCCCGTACCCCAGGCCCTCACACACTGGCCCACCGAACCCACAACGGAACAGGGAGCTGCCCGCCCGGTGCCCGCACCCCTCCCAGAGACTCACTGCCACACGGCGTAGCACAGGAAGACAGCGGCACCCAGGAAGGAGGGGAAGCAGAGCAGGGTGAGGAACACGGTGCTCATGTGCGAGGCCAGCCAGGGCCTGCGGGGCGCCTGGCAGTTCGCCAGCAGGCTCGCCTGGAGACAAAGCTGCAATGTGCTGCCACCGCCACCCCCTCCGCCGCCCTGCGGGCCCCTGGCAGGACCTCCAGGAAGCCAAGGGAACAGGCGGGGTGGGGGGTGCCGAGATCAGACCCCAGGATGAGGACTCGGGACCTCACCCGCCTCACCCCAGGAACCACACATGGCAGCCAGAGCACAAAGGTGACCTCAGAGCCTGTGCACAGGCAGCACAGGGCTGGCGAGGGAGGCCAACCGCCTCTTCACAGGGGACACTCAGGCACAAGTGTATGGCTGCCATTCGGATGGTCTGCTGCTCACAGCCTGCCGACACTGCCCGGCTCTGCACCCAACACCCTCAACACACCACTGAGGGGGCCCAGCCTGCCCAAGACTGGGGTCCAAGTGGGGCGGAGGGCTGCCTGGGAGGCGCTACCTTCTTGACCTGGAAGAGGACCAGCAGCCTGAGGATCTGCACGGCAGGCAGCAGAGGCGAGAAGAGGACGCCTAGCCTGGGAAAGCCACAGCCGGGGACAGTCAGCACACCCCTCTCTAGCCAGGGGACAGGGCACTGCCCACACGAGGGCGTGCGGAGCTCTCACCAGGTCAGGGTCTGCCCATAAATGAGGTCCAGCACGTTCTTCGCGATGTCAAACTCAGGCTTCCGCCTCCGGAGTTTCTTCTCCAGGATGAGCCTAAGGAGAAGAGGATGACACTAACTCCTGGGACGAACCCTCTGCCCCTCTGGGAAGGCACCTGGGCCACGTCTTCCTGCACAGGTACCCTGACATCAGGACAGACAAGGGCCACACCCACGGGCTGGGGACTGCAGTCAGCACCCCTGCCAGCCTGCCTTCTGAGCAGGAGACACAGCTGGCCGCCGGTCACGCAGGAGCAGCTTCTAAGGCAGCCCTGCTCTCTAAAAGCCTTACTTTAAATCATCAGCAGACACACATTCTCAAAGAAAACACAGCAGGAAATAACGCACTCACAAAGCAGACCCACTGCAGCCCACTCCCCCCATTCTGCACACCTCTGCTTCCTCCCCGGCCCCTACCAGCCCCCTCTCTCCCTGACAGAGCCAAGGCTGAGGCCAAGGAGGCACCGAACTACCGCACAGCCCCAGTGGAGTCCCTGGGAAACGTGAGGACCGGGCTACGGACACACCCTGCTCCACCCCAGAGCATCTCTTGGGGCTGATGACCTGTGGCCTTGGAAGGGCAAGATTTCTGAGGTGCCCATGGTGGAGGCCCAGCCCTGCCCTTCCCAGGAGGGCTCAGGAGGACGTGGGGTGGGTAGACTTCTCACCTCCACCCCAGCTCCCCCAAAAGTGAGTCTAGAAGTGCGAAGACGAAGTCCATCACCAGGAAGCGGTACAGCTCCTGGCCCACGAAGTCCTCCCAGCACCCACCCTGCAGGGTGGCCACCCTGCGGCCCAGCCAGTGGTAGCAGAGCACGCCCAGGATGGCCATCTTGAGGACGAGGTTCCTGCGTGGGGTGAGGCACAAAGAGGCTGAAGGAGGGGTGCTGGGGGTGGCCGGGGAGCCCCACACCACAGCACCACTCGGCCGCACACCTGCAAATGGCCATGTACACCTCCAGCACCGGGGAGTCGTGCTGCTCCAGGGTGGCCAGGCCACGGAACAGGTAGGGAGCGCCCAGGTTAAGGAGGGAGACACCCAGGGGCAGGACCAGCAGCCCTGCCTCCTGGCCGGCCACCACGGGGCTCTGCGGGGGAGCGGGCAGGGCTGTGGTCACCAAGGGCAGCCCACCGTGAACTGGACCCAGGGACCCAGGGACGCAGGGACCCAGGGAGGGCCCCAGCGGGAGGGATAGTGGCAGGGAGCCACTCCCACCAGTCCAGCCTACCCAGCCAGCTTCAAACTGCACTGGAAGGAGTGGAACCAAAAGAGAGAAAGGGGGCCTGGGAGGGAGGTGGGGGAAGGCCAGCGGGAGGCTGAGGGGCTGCAGCCCAGCCTGGGTGGACGGGGTGCGGCCTGGGCTGACGCCAGGGTCACTGGGACATGTTCCCCTAGGGACAGCTGGCTCCCCCGCTCAACGGCCCCTGCCGCACCTGGATTGTGACCTCCGAGAAGGCGAGGACGGCCACCGCACAGCCCATTGCAGCTCCCAGGCACAGCAGCCACACCACGGCCAGCACGGTGGCCTGCCGCAGCCGCCCACACACGCTCCGGGAAGCCCTGCGCAGCTGCCACTCGGCCAGCAGCTCCTGGGGGGCAGCACTGCCTGTCAACAGCTCTGTGGGACGCAGCGGGCAGGTACCACACCAGTACACGGCACACAGGCGCAGGCCAGGGCAGCGGCCGCCCAGCCCTCACCCAGCCCCCGCTGCAGCCCGGTCACAGCCTCGCCCTGTAGGTCCCCAGGGCCAGACCCCGCCCTTGGCCTGTCTCAGAGTGTGGGAGCCTCAAGCTGCCCAGCAGCGCCTGAGGAGCAGAGAATGCCTGCCCGCCTGCCCTCCTCCCACAGGAGCTGCCACAAAAGCCCAGACCAGCCTGGCTGGCACTGTGAGCTTGAGGCCAGCTGGCAGGCCATGCCCTCCCTCCCTGCAGAGAGCCAGGTCAGCCACCACTCACCTTCAGCTGGGTGCGGATGTTGTCCCTCTGGAGGCGGGAGGCCCACCTCTGGGTCACCTTGTAGTCCCAGGAGCAAAAGACAGTGATGGCATGGACACCCTTGGTACTGCCCACCCGGTAGCTCTCCCCGAAAGCGTGGGACATGCTGGGAACAGCAAGAGCAGGGTGGTCAATAAGGGGCCCAAGGACACAGACACAAAGGAAGAAGATGGGACAGCCCTGTACCCACACCTTCCTGGTGTGGACCTCGACCTCTCTGGACCAGAAAGATGGGTCAGGGCATCACTCGCTGCTGGCACAGCTGGCCACTCCCACCAGATGTAGTCTGGCAAATGCTGGGCTCACCCCAGGGCCTTTGCATTGCATATCCAATGACCACAGCACCACCTCCGTATTTCCTGCCCACTCACTTAACCTCCCTATCCCACCACTCCTGTAACCCTAAACGGACACCTCCAGGGTCCTGGACAATCCTGGCCCAGTCGCTGCTCTATGTTCTCTTAGGACCAGCAAGCTTCTCCCACTCAGGCATCACACTTGGGAAGCTCCCTGCCCTCAGGCGACACATGGGGGTGGCGAAGGACGGAGAGATGCGGTGCAGGGAGTGCGTGGGTAAGACGGGGGTGGCTAGAAAACGGCCGCACACACGGGTGGGCAGATGAAAAGGAGAGCAGGGTGAAGGGATGGTGCACGAAAGACGGATAAAGGTCAGAAGGGGACACACAGGACGGCTAGACAGGTGAAAGGCGCTGCAGGGACGAGGTCCAGGACGATGGGCAGGGCGTAAGCGCATGGACGGGTGGGGAGGTGGATGGACGGATACAGGGATGAAGGATCGATGCAGTGATGGACGGACAGACGGACGGCCGAAGAGACAATGAGACGGATGAATGGGTGGGTGGATGGATGAACAGATGACGGAAGAGGGATGTGTGGAGGGCTAGACAGATGAGGGATGACCGCAGAAACGGATGAAGGGCAGCTGGACACGTGAAGGAAGGATGAATGGACGGACAGACGAAGGGATCACTGGGTGGGTGGATGGGGGCTAGCCGGCTGGATGAGGTGAACGGACTGACAGATGGGTGGCGATGGATGGACAGGCTCGAGGGCTCAGCGCCAGGCCATGTGGCAGTGGGCATACCTGTACACCAGGGTGAAGCAGGTGAGGAAGAAGGCTGCCCCCACGGTGAAGAGGTAGGCCAGGGGCATGTTGTACGGCAGGGTGCCCGCTCCGGGGCCACACTGCGGGGAGCCGCACGGCACGCTCAGCGTGGTATTACGGTAGTAGCCGTAGTACATGACGGTGTGGGTGAAGCAGCCCTGCGGAGGCCAGGCCGGGTCAGGCACTGTCTCCTCCCACCCCGCATCCCTCCCCTTCGGGGCACCTGGGAACCACCCCGGGCAGCTGAGGCAGGAGTGCACCGCGGCCCCGTGGGACTCCTCACCCCGCCTGTGAGGAGCTCCAGCCCCGTGCAGGCGGGGACAGGCCGTGCCTCAGGGGGGAAGGCCGCCTGCACGGCCACCAGGAAGGCCACCAGCGGCAGCAGCAGCAGTGCATTGAAGAGTAGCAGGGTCTTGAGGAACAGGAAGTAGGAGAGCACGCTGGAACCGAACTGGCCCCCGATCTGCTTCAGGGCGTAGCGCCAGGGTTTCAAGGCGTGCAGGCAGGTGAGAAGCACCAGTCCCAGGTTGTGCAGGGCCTGCGGGGACAGGGGTGGGAGACCCTGAGGGCTGGGAAGACAGGACGGGCACCCGCAGGCCACCCACGGCTGCGGCAGAGACCAGGGCCACCTGCTGCACACCCAGCCCCCCGCCCGGCTCCTACCAGGGCACAGGTGTAGCGCAGCTGGCTGCAGCAGCAGAGCCCGTCACGGCCCTGGCGGGCCCTCTGCTTCCCCCTTGGGATGCGGCTCTTCTCTCTAGGGACAAAGGCAGCCCTCCTGAGGCCACTGACCCACAGATTTGGGACCCTTTTCACTGCTGCCCAGCCCAGCCCAGTCCAGGAAGTGGGTATCAGGGCGATAGGGAGACTTGAGGTGCCCACCGCAGGAAGCGCTTCTCCTGCAGGCTCACGGGCATCCCTCGGAGCATGTGGTCCCGCTGGGCCGCCGACAGGCCCTGCAGCTCCTTCACCAGGAGGCTCCGCTTCTCTGCAACAGGAGGAGGTCAGTCAGCGCCCAGCGAGGCCAGCACCCCTGCGGAGCAGCCACCCTCCAGACACCCCTTCCACCCTGATACTGGCCAGGCCTGGGCAGCACCCAGAGGGCTCCTCCCTACCCACCTCGCTGAAGCCAGACCCAGGCCGGTACCAGGCCCCTGCTCACACCCTACTCTGCCCAGCAGCCCCAGAGCCCCTCCGCCCCTCTCCATCAGGTACCCCAGGGAGTGCAGGAGGGCAAGGCCCAGTGCTCAGGAGGCCCAAGGGGGGCACCCTTGGACCTCAACATCAACAGTACCAGAACCCGAGGAGTGAGCCCTCCTTTAAGAAGTCCCCAGCAGGCCAAGTACAGCAGACAAGGCCACACGGGCCAGAGGTCAATCAGCACAGCTCCTCCTAACCACCACCCATCCTCCCCAAGCTCCGGGTCCGGAAGCATGGAGGGGGCGTCCCTTTCCCTCTGCACCCATGCTGGAGGTGGGTGCTACTTTAACCCAGTTTTACAGATGAGGTAATGACCCTCAAGAAGCTACAACAAAGCTCCCATGAAAAGTAAACAGGGAAACTGGAACATTCGCTCTGGCTCCAAAACCCATACCATCATGCACTGCCCCAACACCATCAGCAGGGGTGCTCTCCACTTGGGGCTGTGGAGCCTCTGCCTATTGCCCAGCCCCTTCCCATCCTGGTACTCAGACAAGCCTGGCACTGGCTGCCTCAGGGCCTTTGCACCTGCTGCCTCTGCTCTAGTCATTCTCTCCTCTAGGCTGGACTGGTTTTCAGGAGGCTCTTTTTGCAGCACCTCTTTCCTGGCTGCCCTTATCTGAGCTGTAGCCATTTAACTGTGCATTCATCTGACTCACGTCTGTCTCACTGGCACACAGTAATTGATGGGAGAACTGCAGGCCTTCTGGCATTGCATGCCAAAGCCCTGCCTGATGTGGGCCACATGCCAGCGCTCCAGAATATCCACGGAACATGCGCACTGGACGTGCAGCAAGCCCTCACAGGCTTCAAAACCAATCTTCCAGCAGCTGCAGGAGGGGCTTCCCAGCTCTGCCACGCCCTGCGGCCACCTGGGCCCCACCCCCTCACAGGCCAAGGCTCACTCACCCTCCTCTTGCAGGGCTGCGGGGTCCAGCTCCAGGTCGTACAGGCGGAGGCTGGGCCGGGCGGAGCACACCACAGGCCCCAGCGGAGGACGGCTGCTCCGGCTGCTCCTGCGCCGCAGCTGTATCGTGCGGTTGTAGTACTGGGAGAGGATGGCCCCTCGGCTGCGGCCTGGGAGGGCAGGGGGCGGATGGCAGAGCCAAGCCAGGCTCTCGGCCCAGCCTCCTCCCCACCTCCGGCTCCACTGCATTCCCAGGAACCTATTTTTACCCCTGGGAGGAGGACTCGGGAAGCCAGCACGGGGCTGTGACGATGGGGGCCTGGGCAGCAGACAGGGCGGCTGAGCTTAGGTTCACAGACGCCCCGCAGAAACCCCAGGCCAGCACAGGCTGCAGGGAAAACAGAGCAAGGGCAGGGGGCCTGCTCACCGATGGTGCGGCTGGGCATGCTGGCCAGGATGCTAAGCGTGGCCGTGCTGTAGACCGGGCCACTCGAGTCTCCCAGCAGCACCTGGTGAGCGCTGGCTAGGAAGAAAGGATGTCCATTACCCGGGCTCCTCCCTGCCCTTCCCAGCACATTACCAGGGCTCCTCCCTGCCCTTCCCAGCGCATCCATTACCCAGGCTTGTTGCCACCCTTCCTGGCCGCATGGCACACACTCACCCGAGGCCCCCGGGTCTCCTGCCACCTGCAGCAGCTCCAGACCCTCCTCGGCCACCCGCAGGCTCTGCTCCTGAATGAGCTGGTGGAAGGAGTCATGCACCTCACTCTCCTCACAGGGGCTGCTGGAGGCACGATGGGAATCCAGGCTCACCCCCGTCCAGCAGGCCAAGACAGGGTGGGCCTAGCCAGCCCACCAGCCCCAGAGCACTTACTCGTGATCCTCGGGTGTCTCGGGGACGTTGAGAACCAAAGTCTGTGACTGGGCCATGACTGCAGTCCTCGCCCAGGGGAACTGCAGACCTAGGGCAGCACACAACCTGGACGCAGCCTCAGGAGCCTCCTGTCGCCCATCTGACAAGGCAGGGGGACACAGTCAGCCCTCCGAGTGTGGCGCACACCCAAGCAGCCCCGACAGGGGGCCTAAGCTACCTACACCCCCGCTCCCCCCCACAACCACACACACAACCACACGCTCACTCCTGGAGACTCCGAGCAGAGGAAGGGGAGGGGGAGAGGAAGAGTGTGGGGCCCGAAGCTCCCTTCCGCTTCCTCCCCATCTCCAGTCCCTGGGAAATGGGCATGGGGCGCTGCCTCCCTATTCCCAGGGCCCGGCCCCAGGGCCCCTTCCTGTTGGAGAAAGGTCACAGCAGCTGCCTTTGCCGGGGCTGCCCTGTGACCCCAGAGCGCTTCCTTCCCCCTGAGCCCTACCTCCAGCCCGCGGAAGTAGCAGACACAAAGCTTCCCCGCCACACACGGCGCACCAAGGTCTTCACTCCCCCGGACGCGGCGCCCTTCGCGCGAGGGCAGCAGAGCGGCCGGGGTGGGGGCTGGGCCTACACAGTGCCCCTTTGTGCTAGCCCTGGGTCAGAAGGCAGCGCCGGAACCACAGCGCTTTGTCCCGGGCTCAGCCTTGGGTCTAGCTAGCCCCGTGGGATTGGGTGCGGACACCAGCCGCCCCCACCACTCTGCTGCAGACCTCTGCGAAAACAGGACCCAGGCTGTCGGACCCTCCGACGCCACTGCCCTCAGCCCAAGGACAGTTGGCTCCTTTTCGGGGAGCCCCCTGGTCGTGGCACGGTGCCCACAGATCTCTGATTACCAATCGAAGCCCCTGTCCGGGGGAGACGGAGTCAGCCCGGAGCTAGCTTGGCAAGGAGCCAAGCGGGGCTGAGTGCCCCCAGGGCATGGAGGTGCCTGCCGGAGGCTAACGCCTGGGACCTGCGGCTCCCCGGGCACCGAGGACTGAAGCGGGCGAGAACCGCAGCCCCTGCGGCTCCAGGCTAGGCAGGACGGCGAGTTTCCGGGGCGCGGGAGTTTCCGGGGTGCAGCATTCCTGAGCCAGGTAGGGAGGGGCCAGCCGACACTACCGGGAAGGGCACCACGAAGCCTCGCAAGGGTCCCCCTGGAGTCTCCGGTCACCCCCCTCCCGGGCCCCCGCGGCAAGCCCGGCAGGGAACTGGGCACCAAGAGGCCCGGGAGGACGGTGGGAACCCCGCGGGGACCTGGCCGCTCACCTGGAAGGCGCCGGAAGGACGGGCCGGGCGCTGCCGACCGGCTTCTCTGCCCCAGCAGTGCCGGCCCGCGGGACCGAGGAAGAGCCGGGCCGCGGCCGGGCTCGGGGCGCCGCCCCGCCCACCCACGAGGGGGCGCCTGTCACGTGACCCGCGGGCCCCGCCCCTGCTCCGGCCAGGGCGGTGACGGTGCCCTGTGCCCACCGGCCTGCCTCGCACTTTACCCCGCGTTTGCGAGGGGCCGGGTCTACGCAGTCTCTGGTGGAAGCCCCGGAGTGAGGCTCGGTTTCCCCAAGTTTCAAAAGGGGGCCGTAACTCCGGATCTCTCCACGTCCCGGGCTCGGGGCTGGCGAAAGAGGTGCGGCCGCCGCAAAGCGCCCTGAGCGCGAGCCTCTCCGCGCCGGGCTTGGGCAACTCCTTCCTCCAGGCCTCTCCCGCCCGGTTATCTGCCCCTCCCGCGGGCGCGGCTCCTCGGCGCGCTTTGCGCTGTTTATCTAGCAGGAGTCCAGGGTTTCCCGTGTGCCGGGTGGGGGAGGGGGCCACGCGGAGAGCAGACCGACGCTTTGTGAGTGTCCCCGAAGGCTCACCACCAGCCCGGAGTCAGGGATGGGCCCTGTTTCACAGAAAAGCCCAGGCCTGTTGTGCCTCCGCCCACAGGGCGCCCCCAGCTAGAGCAGGAGCCCTAGCCTGGCAGCCCTGCCAGGACACGCTTTGGAGACCCCTGTGCCAGCGAGGACCTGAGGAGAGGGAGAGGACATGAGGCAGACGGGGTGACTGAGCAGGAAGCAGAGCGGGGCTCAGGACCCTCAGGAGGGAGAACAGGAGGAAAACCAAGCTGCAGGAGAGGACCATGAGCCTGAGGAACAGGGTCTGGGGCCTGAAGCCCGGTGTGCACAAAGGAGCCAGGGTCTCATTTCTTTGCAGCCATCGGTAGGTCCTCAAGCAGGGGACCTGAGGCTGATTCTCCGTACCTTGGTGTGACGCTCCAGCCTGCCCAGCCTCTGCCACCACACGGTCCCTCCTTGCACACTCGGCCCGGGCCTTGCCCCAGGCCCACCTGAAAGCCACCTCTCCAGGTGGAGCACATGTCATGTCTGCTAACACACCCTCTGTGCCTCTGTCCCCTCCTCTCCCACCCTCTGTGTGCCCAGCACCAGCACCAAGTTTACGTAGCAAGACCTGGAACCAGGAGGCACAGGATGCAGAAAGGCACCAGGAGAATTCAGAACTGGGGTACCCTAACCCCAAAGGAGGCAGACAGCCAGCAGGGAGGCTGGCCTGCGAAGCCTCCCAGGGGACCCAAGGACAAGAACTGGCCAACAAGGTTCCTAAAGGTCAACTGTGGAGCCCTCCCTGAGCACTGACAAAGGGGCGGGGTGTGAGAGTGGAAGGGGTGTGGGCCACAGAGGAGGGAAGTTCAGAAATAACTGGCTTTGAGCACCGAGTAGCTGGTGCACTGAGGGACCATGGGTCACTATCGCACTCCCTGGAGCAACCTGCTGGAGAGAGATAAGGGGCGCACCCTGTATTCCACTGCCAGCACCCACCAAGGCCAGGCTCCCAGGTCAGGAGGAACCCAGGATGGGGACTCAGCCCTGTTCCAGACCTGGACCCTGTGGGACACCAGAGAGGGGAAAGTAGACCCCGGCCCAGTCGGCACAAGCCTTGCAGACCGTAGGCACAGGCCTCACCTGCGCCCCATGCACCCGCAGCCCGCAGGAAGTGCCACTTGGTCACAGTTAGAGCAGAGGAAACTTTGGGGAAGGCCTAGGTTCCTGTCACGTGACCCACCCTAGCACACATTCACAGTCCCGTCTGCCTTGGTGGCTGCTGGCCCCAGAAGGGGGCTGCTGCAGGAGCTTGGTGCCTCGGTCCCCAGGTGAGCTGGATGAAGCCTGCAGAGATCTGAGGGCCCGGGCTGGAGGAGTGGAGGGCAGGGAGGTGAGGGAATTCTTAGCAGCTGCTAAGGCACCTCTGGGATCTCTTCCTTTTCCCACAGTGGGGCTGGGACCACGCCTGCTTCTCTGGGCCCCAGGAGGGAACCCGAGTGATCAGCTTGGCCTGGGGCACTGGGCCACCAGAAGAAAGACACAAAAGGAGCCCAGCACCTCCAAGGCTGGGGTGCTGCAGGATACTGGGTCCTAGGAAATGTCCAGGCTTGAGGCCAGATGTCTCCCCAGACAGGGAACGGGCACAGGGAGAACAGGAATTGTGTTCTTCTAAAGGGTGACCCCCAGGCCCAGCATGGGGGCCATGCCTATAATCCCAACCCTCAGGGCTGAAGCAGAAGATTTCTGCAAATTCAAGGTCAGCTGGGCTATAAAATAGGTTCAAGGCTGGCCTGAACTGCGTGGCAAGACCAAATCTCAAAAAGACAAACCCAAATAAAGGATGACCCCCAATGCCTGGGGCCATTCATGACTGGTTGTGACAGTCCCTGCTCCCAACAGCCGGTATGATGGGGAGACTGAGACCTGGCCTTATGTCAATGCTGAGGTGTATATTGAGACTGAGCTCAAATCCCTACTCCGGCAGGATTTTCTTTTCATTTCTGAGCACATCAGGACCAAGACCTTGCAGCTGTCCACCTGGTACCCCATGTCCCCGTCCCTCCTGAGAGTAGAGGCTGAACCTGTGCTGGGATGTGGCAGCAGTGGTCAGCACAGTCGGGACAGACCCCAAGATGGCCAAGCCCCTCACCCGAGTGTGAGGAGCTCTGGGAGCAGGAGATGGAGTGGCTACGTGCTTCCCGGGAGCCCCTGCGCTCACTGCCCTATGCCATGATGGACAAGCGCCTCATCCGGTGGGTGCCCAGCAGGAGCACAGTCTGGGGCCAGCTGGTGGGAACAGGACCCTGGGAGGACGCACTGGGGATATGGGGTCCTGGGCCCGTGGCACCATCTGCTGGCCATGGGTGGGGCTGGGGAGTAGCTGAGGGCCATCCCATCGCACCCCATCCAGGGAGATGCGTGAGCCCGAGGGCATGGAGGCAACATTCTGGCAGCAGTGGCAGCAAAGGCAGCAGGCCACTGGACAGCGTCTGAGGGAGGCAGCACGGCGGCTTGCCAGGGGCTTCGGACTCTGGAAGGGGGCGCTATATGAGATCGGGGGTAGGTCCCCTGTTCCCCATCTCTCCTCTTTGGAGTCCTGCTACCCAGCTTGGAAAGGCGGGCGGGCACCATCCCACTGACCAGCTCCTCTGTCGGTCACACACAGCCCCAAGTTTGGTGCCAACCTCGGTAAGTGATAGCGCCCTCTGGTGGCCCTTAGAGGCATTGCCAGTCTGTGCTGGGCACCTGGCATGCATGCCGCATGGCTGGCTCCCGGGGCCCTGCCTGGGCCCTGACCGCTTCCCTCACTGCCTGGCTCTCTTCACACAGGCCTCTTCGGCTCGGGCATCCGGTCCTACTTTACCTTCCTGCGCTTCCTGCTGCTGCTCAACCTGCTCACTGTGCTGCTGACTGCCGGCTGCGTGTTGGCACCCCTGGCCTGGCTCCGCCCCACGGGCCCAAGTCCCAGCCTAAACTTCAGTGAGTGACCAGTTGCCCTGGACCCTCTGGGCCCCAGCCCTGGACTTCCCTTGACCCTGCCTTTGGCCTTTGGTACACATCATCACTGTCATGGCGGGGCTGCAGAATGGGGAGGCCTGGGTTCACTTACGTCTTGGGACCCCTTCCCTGTTCCACTCCACTTCAGCAGCCCTGCAGTGTCCTGGCAGCCACCAGCCCCAGGCTCACGTTCCCAGGTTCCACAACCAGCTCTGGAATGTTTTGACTGGCAGAGTAAGTGGTCCAGGGGAGAGCAACCCCCCCCCCAGGATCCTGCCTCTCCAAATCTTAATGCAAGCTGGTGGGAGTAGACATGGGGTCAGGGAGAGGTGTGGCAGCTGCACAGCACAGCTGTGGTCCTTGGGTCCCATGGGGGTTTCAAGGAACAAAAGACCCCTGGGAGAAGCATCACATCGCAGGAAGCCATCAAGTGGTCACCAGTGTGGACACACCTGTGTTGAATCCTGCCGGGGACACCTCAAAGCTGGGTGACCAAGTGCCCAGCCGCTCTCTACCACTGTGAAAAGGGCTGTTCCCACCTACCGGGTTTTCATGAGGAGGGTGATGAGCTGAGGCATGGCAAATGCTGAGCACGGGGCCTGGCATTCGGTCCATGCCCGGCTGTCCTCACATGGTCCCCAGGCCTTCAGCAACACCTATCTCTTCTACGGCGCGTACCGGGCGGGGCCGGAGAGCAGCTCCACCTACAGCATCCGCCTGGCCTACCTGCTCTGCCCGCTGGCCTGCCTGCTGCTGAGCTTCTGCGGGACCCTGCAGCGGTGAGCGTGCGGCCTGTGCCCTGGCCAGTTCCTGGGGCATCCTCCCTATCTCCGCTTCCGGGGCAGAGGGCTCCCCATGTTGACAGAGAGGCCCCTGACCCTGCTTGGTAAGGCTCTCGGGAGCGGCCACAGCCAGGCTGTCGTCCCCAGGATGGTGAAGGGGCTGCTGCAGAGGTCGGGGCTGAACCGGAACTACAAAGTGCCCCTCAGTGCCAAGGTCTTCTCCTCCTGGGACTTCTGCATCCACATGCGGGAGGCAGCCATCATCAAGAAGCATGAGATCAGCAATGAGTTCAAGGTGTGTGCAAAAGTGGGCGTGACCGAGTGTGTGCCTGTGTGCGGGCATTTTACCAAGGGAGCAAGTTGTGAGTGTGGAACCCTTATGATTACATAGTATGCACGTGTGTGTAAGAACATGTGTGAGTGTAAAGCGGAAGTGCAAGCACTGGGACTGAGTGTGGGGGCGTGAGAACACAAGGTGGCTCGACCTGAGAGGCGTGCTTGCAAGCGTGAGCACAGAGCAGTCCCACCCTGGCCGCAGGTGTACCTGGAGGAGCTGTGTCACCGCCAGCGGCTGCGGCAGGAGACTCCAGCCCAGCGCACCTGCCGCCTGCTCAGCTACCTTCGAGTCAGCGTCCTGATTCTACTCCTGGTGATCGGAGCCATCAGCGCCATCTTCTGGGCCACCAAGTACTCACAGGACAAAAAGGAGGTAGAGGCGACTGTGTTCCCTCAATCCTGGCCTAAGGGAGGAGATGGTGGCTCCCTTCACTCCAGGCAGGAAGCTGGGCTCAGAGAGGCCAGAGCTGTCCAGACTGTGGGTGGTGCCCAGTTCGCATGGGCTGTCGCTGTGGGTGTCCCCATCTGTGAGGTTCCAGACCCCAGCCCTGCCCCTCGCCAGGCCTGCACAGCCCTCCCATCACTCCCCAGGAATCCCTGTTCGTGGTGCTCCAGTACCTGCCCTCTGGGGTCATCTCACTGGTCAATTTCCTGGGTCCCCTGCTATTCACGGTCCTGATCCAGCTGGAGAACTATCCTCCGAGCACTGAGGTCAACCTTACCCTCATCTGGTGAGCACCCCTTAGGGGCCATGTAGGCCCAGTGGAAGGGTCTTGCTGCTGTCCTGGCAGTCGCTGGGCACCAACTGTCCCGAGTGGGGAGACCCACACATTCACTGAGCAAGCAGGCGGGCATTCCTAGGACACTGGCCTCGGGGCCCAGGTCTGAGGCCTGCCAGTGTCACCACCAGAGGGAGCCACAGCATGGACCAAGTGCCAAGGAGGAGCAAGGGGAGTCTTGGGAACCAGTGTCATGAAAGCCAGCCACTGGGGACACAAAGCTTGCCCTCGCCCCAAGGGCCCCGCTGCACCCTTATCCCTGGAACAGGAATGATTCGGGGGCCAAGTGCCCACCCAAGATTTCACAACACTTTCGGGGTGCAGATTCAAATGCAAGTCCTCCTACACTGCAGACCCCGCCTGTCTCAGCACTTGGTCTTAGCTCTGCTCCAAGCTCCAACTCCAAGCAGCCCCTACCCCAAAACCCTCAGGGGCTTTCTCCTCCTCCTGCCACCTCTACCCCACTCCCTTCCTACCTGCTTCCCTGACTGTAATTTCCTTTGCAACTTGCCCTCTGGGGGTGGGGGGTGGAACTCAGGCCTCCATACCAAGCTACATTCCTAGTGCTTTTTATTTTAAAACAGGGTCTCACTGAATTGCTAAGTTTCCCAGGCAAGGCTCAAACTTGCCTCGGCTTCCCAGACTTCTGGAATTACACATGTGTACCACCACATCTGTCTGATATATATAAATATATATATATATATATATATATATATATTTTTTTTTTTTTTTTGTCTTTTTGAGACAGGGTCTCACTATGCAGTTCAGGCTGGCCTTGAGCCCAATCTGTAGCCCAGGCTGGTCTCGAATTTGCAAGGACCCTCCTGCCTCAGTCTCCCAAGAACTGGGATTACAGGCATGTACCACCACTGTATCTTGGAACTTTACTTTTTGAATATATTATAAATGCACACATGGTTTTTAAAAAAGGAAAAAATCAAGATGCTTAAAAGGATGAAAGTTTCTCCTCAGATCATATTAATCTTTCCCTATTACTAAAAGGGTGAAAGGTTAAAAATAAGCCCCTGCTTCCCACCCTCCCTCAGCAGAACCACCGCTCCCAGGCTTCCCAGCTCACAAGGGCACCGGAAGTGTCCACCCTTGCAGCTAATGTTTGTGCAATGGTTTCCGGCCATCAGCTCTGCACAGGACTCTGGCATGTCTTTCAGTGAGCACACACGCTCACACCTTTACCTAGAGACACTGTCAGAGAGCGAGGACTGGGACAGGCAGCGGGAGAGAGTGGGGCAGCAGTGCTGGGTTGGAAAGAGCAGGTGGGCGGCTCCGGATTGCAGCCCCAGCACCAGGATGAAAAAGACCTTGAAAAAGGTTCAGAAGCTGCATTGGGGAAGGACAGCCAGACATGGTTTCCTAAACTGGTTTCAAAGCAGAACCCTTGTCTCATTACCGGTCTGGAAACTCGGTTCTCGGGCAGTCCTTTGGGAAGGTACTGTGACTGGAGCCGGCTGGGAGGATACTGGGCTGCAGGCTAGGGGGATGGGGCCCAGCCGGGTGCAGGTACCACCCTGACACACTCCTCCGCAGGTGTGTGGTGCTGAGGCTGGCCAGCCTGGGCATGTTCTCCTTCTCGCTGGGTCAGACCGTGCTGTGCCTGGGCAGAAACAAGACCAGCTGTGAGGCCTACGGCTACAATGCCTGTGACTATCAGGTAGCTGCCCCTCCTGTGCTCCTCTGCAAAGTCCTGCCTCGAATATGCACAGCCCCAGGCCAGGGATTTAGCTCAGTGGCAAAAGTGCCTGCCTGGCAAGCGCAAGGTCATGAGTTCGATTCCCAGTACCAAAAGAAAAAAAATACACAGTCCTGTGCCTGCCCCATTAGTCCCCCTCTGGGTCTCACCTTTGGGAGCAGCTGTGAGCAGAGCCACCATGCAACAGCACACCCCCAAGGGGCGCCCCTGCACCCACCCACCATGTGGTGTGACAGTCCTGGGAGGCAGTTCCTGCTCTAATAGTCCTGGAGTTGTATAAGACCATAGCCAAACTCCTATGCTACAAGATCTTCCCAGTGCCAGGCATGGTTGCTCACTGAAGCAGGAGGATTGCTGTGAGTTCGTGGCCAGCCTGGGCTACATAGCAAGACCTTGTCTCAAAAAGCAAAGCAAAACAAAAACAAATCCTCCCTCCCAGGATGGGTAAGGGGTGGGGAGTGATGGGGGCAGGATGGTGACAGGCCTCCTGCTCCATACCCCAGTGCTGGGAAAACTCGGTGGGCGAGGAGTTTTACAAGCTGATCATCTTCAACTTCCTCGTCACTGTAGCCTTCGCCTTTCTTGTCACCCTGCCTCGGAGGTGAGCCAAATGAGAGATGGCGCCCAGGGAGAGTGGGGTGACAGGCGTGTCTGGGGACTGCCCATGGTCACAGGCAGGAGTGGACCAGGCCCGCTGTGTGGGGTGATGGTCCACAGCCCCCCGCACCCTTCTTGATTCGAGCCTCCTGGACCCTCCCTACCCAGGCTGCTGGTGGAGCGGTTCACAGGCCGGTTCTGGACGTGGCTGGGCCGGGAGGAGTTCCTGGTGCCCAAGAATGTGCTAGACATCGTGGCGGGGCAGACCATCACCTGGATGGGCCTCTTCTACTGCCCCCTGCTGCCCCTGTTCCATAGCATCTTCCTCTTCCTCACCTTCTACATCAAGAAGGTAAGGGTGCCTGCTGGGAGAGAGCAGCCCCCCCCACCAGGGCTGAGGACCGCACTCACACCCCTGCTCTCCTGTCTGCACCCAGTACACCCTGCTGAGGAACTGCAGGGCAGCCCCGAGGCTCTTCCGTGCCTCCAGCTCCACCTTCTTCTTCCAGCTGGTGCTGCTGCTGGGCCTGCTCCTGGCAGCGGTGCCCCTGGGCTTTGTGGTCAGCAGGTGAGCAGGAGAGCTGGGTGGGCGCAGGTGGGCAGCCCCCTCCCCATGAGGCCCTGACACCGCCTCTCCCATCTCTGCAGCATCCACTCCTCCTGGGACTGTGGCCTCTTCGCCAACTACTCAGCGCCCTGGCAGGTGGTCCAGGAACTGGTGGCTCTGAGGCTCCCACTCCCTGGCCAGCGTGCCCTCCGCTACCTCAACTCGCATGCCTTCGTCTACCCACTCCTTGTCCTGCTCAGGTGTCCATCAGGCGGCAAGGACCATGGGAGGGGACTGCTGAGGAGGGTGTTGTGGGCTTCCTTCCCCCAGCCCATCGGGACCCAGAAGCCAGGGAAAGGGAAAATGGGGCTCAGGCAAGCAGGCCCTAGTACCAGATGAGAGCCCTAAGTCGGGGAGCCTGGAGGCTGCTCCTGTAAAGCAGGCCCTGTGGCCCAGTGCCAGGATGCCATGGGTACTCCAAGCAGCATGGTACCTCGCTGGAGGACTAGGAAGGAGGGGCCCCTAGAGAAACCCCAGGGGCAGGGCATTTTTTTTGGAAAGTGTATGCTTCTTGGGAAGAGGGGGTTTTTTGTTTGTTTGTTTGTTTGTTTTTTTATCGGTACCCGGGATCGAACTCAATGGGGATCGAACTCAACAACCATGCTCTTGGAAGGCAAGAGCCTTATGCCACTGAGCTAAATCCCCAGCCCGGGGCAGGGCAGGCCACTCGTGGTCGGAGAGGTGACTGACTTTGAAATCCTGTCTGCCCCCAGCCTCATCCTGACCGTGTGCATCTCTCAGTCCCAGGCCAATGCTAGGGCCATCCACGTGCTCCGGAAGCAGCTGGTGTGGGTGAGTGCCAGCTAGGTTTGGGGGACACCCATCTTCTGGGCGTGTGGCCTGAGATAGCCTGGTGCCTCTGCTTATGGGGTGTAGCTGGGCAGGGGGAGGAAAGGAAGGCCCTCCCCCCGGAGCTGATAAGAACATGGCCTTAGGCTGGTCCGATGGCAGTGGGTTATCAGAACTTATTAACATTAGTGTCACTAAAGTTGGTATACCACCCCCCCACTGCTAAATTTGACTGGCTTTAAAAAAAAAAAAAAAAAAAGAGCATGGCCTTAGATTTGGGGTCCCGCTCACGAGAACCTGGCCTCGGAGCTTCAGTGCTGGACCCTGGTGGGGTCGGATCTGAAGTGCACGACCTGTGGCTGTGTTAGGGGGTCGGACCCTGGTCTCTGGTTAGGCGCGGGTGTTGGAGGGGCGGGGCTCCTGTCGGTGGGCGTGGCCTCGGGTACCCAATCAGCAGCCTCCCAGTGGCCGAGCCCCTAGTTGCCCCTCCCAATCCGCTGCTTACTGTCCGCAGCAAGTCCAGGAAAAGTGGCGCCTGGTGGAGGAGCTGTCGCGGCTGTTACAGGAGCCAGGCTCGAGCGAATCTCTGATCCCTGGCTCCTCGAACTTCCGAACTTCACGCCCCTGGTCCTTCGGTGCGGGATTCCCGAGCCCAGGTCCCTTGGGCCCCAAGAACCTCAGCCAGGATCCTTCCACACCGACCTCGCCCTGGTTGAGCTCCTCCTACCCCGGATCGCGCGGTACCCTGGAGCCCGGGCCCCGGTTCCGCTTCACCAGCGCCACGGAGCTGTAGCTGTCCCTGTAACACAGACCCGGCGCCCCCCACGACGGAACCTGTGGCACCCACTTCCCCACCCTGGCTCCTGGCGAGGGCCACCCTCACACACCGACAAGGCTCCCCACAAAGGGACATACGGAAGACCGTATGAGAACTTCTATTTTTCTAATTTCATCCCTTTAAAACTTCTATTTTTTTACTATTTTATAGTGCACATAATACATTATTATAGGAACCCATAAACACAATTCATAAATAATATGTCATCTTGGAGTGCTGAGAAGGTGCTCACCGAAGCTCAAAGCCCTTTCCCATGGAAAGGGGAAAGCTGCTCACCACTCCACTCCACTGCACTCCGAGGGCTGCCCTGTACCCCGCTGCATCCCACCCACTCAGCCCTTCTATGAATGCACAGAAGTCAGGGGCACAGCCAGCGGGGGCCCAGCTGGGATCTGACTCAGACAGGCAGGCTGCAGAGCCCCACTGCCTCGGCAGGGGCGCAGAAGCATTCCTGACCCTGAGCCAGAGGTCTGGGGACAGGGAGTGTGTTGCTGCTCTCTGTCCCTGCGGTGGCTAGCTCACTGCAACAGAAGTGTTTCAGGGACTGGAACCCAGGCCCCTCCATGTCTCCTGCAGAATTTGTCCTGCCAAGCAGCATGGTGCCCTGCCAGGGTCTCAGCAGCATCAAAAGGCCTGTGCTGTGACAGACACATGAAGTGTGGGTGTCAGCAGGTGTGTGACCTTCAGGACTGGGATGTGGCCCAAGGCGTGCCCCAGCTTCCTGAGCCTGCTGCTCCTGCCCCATGCTGTGGTGATGGGGCTGGAGTCGGAACTTTAAAAGTACCCAGGCGACTCTAGACTGAAGAAACCCAGGACATTCTTGCAAAGCTCTCACGGGGGACCAGCACCTGGGCAGACATCATCTGGGGGGGGGGCTTTGCCTGCCGCCCTCAGAGCAGGGACTTCTCTGATCAGATAGCCCTGGCCAGCCCAGCCCCTCTTCACTGCCCTAATCTCCCTGGCCTGGCATCCCATGACCACCAGTGCCCCTTGGATGGAGTCAGTGCTGCTGAACACCAGGTCCTGTTTCTAGGGGTGGCAGTGAGGCTGTGGGGGAAACAGGTCTCAGTCTGGGAAAGGATCATCAGAACTCTCCGGGTGGTGCCTGGCATTCATGGCCTCCCATGTGGGCTGCACCCCGGGCCCCTCTTTTATTTTTTGGGATAGGGTCTCCCTAAGTCACTAACTTGCTCACACTGGGCTCCAGCTTGTGATCCTCCTGCCCCAGTCTCCTGAGTAGCTGGGATTGTAGGCGTGGGCCACCATGGTTCACTCTTCCCCACCCAGCCCTAAGGAACCCCTCCCTGGGCTCTGTGGCCTCCTCAGATCTGCTGGCCAAGGGACCTTCCAGGAACAGGACATGAGGAAACCAGACAGATCCATAAAGCTTCTGTAAAGGAGACTGACCCAGGAGGGGCAAAAATCCTAGAACATGATAGGTATTGGGGGTCTGGAGAGTTGGGGGACACCCAGACTTCATGGAAGAAACCTGTGAATAACCTCAGGAGTCACCACAGAGGCATTCTAACCAGCCCTGTCCCTCCTCACTGGCTGGGGAGAAGCCCAGCCCACGGACAGAGGACTAGGGCAGCCAGAGGACCAGCAAGCAGGTGATCCCTAACAGGGACTGTTGGAGAGCACTGAAGCTGAATACAGGTGCAGAACTGTGGTGTGGCCTGGGCCTGATTAAACTGAGAATAAGGAGACATCTCAGGGGGCAAGATAGGCCGAGGCCTCCTAGAGACTTTCTAGATGTTTTCCTTAATTAGAATCATTTGTTGCTCTAAGGGGTCTTTGCATTCCTCCCAAGACCCTAATCATGTTTCCTCCCTTGTCCACTCAGCTCCTTGCTTGTTCTGATTAACCCTGGGTGCCGAGCATCAGTGGGCTGGCCGGCTACCACAGTTAGGAGCTCTGCTGAGGATCTCACTCCTCCTGTAGCCCTGAAGACCATGCTGCATGTCTCATTCCTTTGAGCCTTCTCTGTGCACCCGTATGGGGAACTGGGGGTCTAGGCACAGACCCCAACAAGGGGCCATGGTAGGGCAGGAAGTTGCCTCATTTCACCAAGGCCCAGGGAAGATGTCCCTGGAGTTACCCATGACTCTCCTGACTCTGACCCTCAAACACTGAGATGAGGAGACCCCTCAGAGATGCCAGAGCCCAGGTGGGGAGACACGAGTTTCTGGGCCTCTGGGCACCAGACTGGTCACAACCTGTGACCCCTCGGGGGTCTCCCATCTGTCCTCCTTCCCCACTCCACTCCCAGCAGACAGGAGGACAGGCTGTGGAAGGGAATTTTGCTGAAAACAGAGAAAATGCTACACGTGCGCTGGGGCTGCATCCCCAGGGCACACGTCAGGGCGAGGAGGGGCGAGTGACACCACTGATTCAAGCTGACTGAGGAGAAAGTAAGCCACCTGCAGGGGTCAAGACCAGGTGCCCCTGCTGTTCCCTGGCCAACAGGGGTCGCCCTGCAAAGCAGCTTCCAGAGGCCACAGGCTCTGAGTCAGGGCTGTAGCTGGGGCTTCTGTGGGTCAAGAGTCCACGCTAGGGCCAAGGAGCTATGCTGGGGCAGGGATCCTGGAAACAAAGGCCGCCTCTTGGACATCATCCAAGAGGAAGCAGCCAAAGCCTGTGATTCTTGCAGTCACCAAGCCAGCCCAGAAAGGTCCTGGCTGGTCTGGCAGCTCCAGGTGGGGCTGGTGTAAAGAGCCCAGCTCGCAGGCAGGAAGGTGGCAGTGCCTTGCTGTGGAGGTGGCAGCACCTGATCCCTTGGCTCTGCATCCCTTGAGCCCTAGGTTCTGACTCGGGCCTCTGTGAGGCCCTGCTCACCCTGACCCATCTGTCCAGGTAACTCAGCAGCAGGATGCTGGCCAGGCCGCAACACCACCAGAAACGCAGCTCGGTCTCCTTTTTGTACAGAGTAACTGGGTACTGGTCTCTGGGGAATGATCATCCCTATCCTTGAGCCAAAGAAGGTCCCTGCTCCTCTGAGCTCCGCAGGCACACTGCATCACTCTCCGGGGGTGACCAGGGGCCCAGGTCAGATACGGCCCAGCAAGATGTGGGCAGACACTGACCTTCCCTGCTTTGCTTTGGGGTGCTGCCCAGGGCTCTCTGGAGGTGCCTTGTCAGGCCCCTGTGGGTCACATGAGGTCCATCCCGGTAACCTGGGATGTGGCCCCCTCTCGGACTCTGCAGGCCATCTCCATGTGACCTGACCTGTTGGTAGGTCCAGCGTTGAGGACATGGACAGTCCCTGCTTCGTGAGCCCTGCCGAGCTCAGTCAGGCCTGGCGTGCTACAGGGCCAGCCGCCTTCCTTCTGCTCCCCTTTGGGGTGTGGGGCCACTGGCTGCAGGGCTTCTGGGCCCAGCCCACTGGACTGGGACCTTCAGGTTATCTCCTCACTGCAGGCAGCCACCAGGAGCACACCCGGGGCCCCAAGGTGGGGGGCCTAGACCTAAGCCGTTGCAAAAGCCGAGCAGAAGCCTCACATGGCCCACAGCCTCAGTGGCATGAGGGTCCTCCAGCTGCTCTGTTTGGCCACATTGGGTGAGCCCATGGGGGACACTTGTGGGGGGTCTACTGTCAAGGCCCCCAGGAGGTGGCTTTAGGGTGTGGGGTGCCGGGGAGCACAGGAGAGGTGGCCCCTGGGACCTGGGCTCCTCTGAAAGCCAGAGTCTGGGCTTCGGTCTCCTTACTGCCTGTGTGGCTGTTACTCCTTGATCACTCTGGCCCACTCTTGACTCCACAAAATGGATGGAAAACCCCAAATGTCCCAGGCTCGAAAGGGCTTCTTGAGCAGCTGTGCTGGCTGAATCCTTCAGCCTGCAGGGGTCAGCCCACACCTCCCTTACCCATCCTCCCATGACACTGCCCCTCTCTTACAGCCACCAGCAGCTCTCCCAAGGGCCAGGAAGAAGGTGAGTGGCCCCACATCCTGAAGGGACAAGGGCAGCCATCTGGGGACCCCCACCTATGACCATCACCTGTGGTGGACGCCTTTGCTGGGAGGTGGCAGGGGCGAGGAGGGATGCTAGGACACAGCTGGACAATTCCGGATCCTGACAGGACCTTGGGGGCATAGACAAACAAAAGCAGGCTGAGGGAGAGTCCCAGGAACACAAGACAGGGACGGTGGTTGGAGTGTGGGGTGTCCTGGGTAGGGGTGTCCTGGACACTCAACTCTGGATCCTCATCCAGAGTGGCATCTCCTCCAGGTGCCTCACAGATCTGCCAGGTGGTGTGATCCAGAGAGGGCTGGGAAATTTGGGGGGCACCTTGGCCCAGGAGGGGGCCCCCAGGCCTATAAGAGGGATGAGAGAAATCAAGATGCCCCAGGGTCCAGGGTAGAGGAAGCCTGTCTCTCCATCTCTCTATCTCCCTGTGTGTGTGTGTGTGTGTGTGTGTGTGTGTGTGTGTGTGTGTGTCTGTCTGTCTGTCTGTATTTGTCTCTGTCTCTCTGTCTCTGTCTCTGTGTGTGTGTGTGTCTCTCTCTCCCCCCACAAATTGCACAGTTTGGTTCAGAGCCACAGAGGAGGGGACACCAGGGAGGCCCCTGAACCCCACCCTGGCCTGACCTACTCCCACCTCCCAGCCAGCTCCATCTGGCCAGGCCGGGGCCTCGTTCCCTTTACCCTCCCTCCCAGGTTTCTCCCTTGCAGGCATCTCAAGCCCTTGTGTCTGCTGGGGTCAAGGCAGTCAGTCACCGCCCTGTCGTGGTCCCTACCTTGTCCCGCTGGGCCATCAGGACACAGAGCTGGACATCCCCCTCAGTTCTGCTTAAGGGCAGGGCCAGGTAGTGGTGACGGCAAGGAAGCAGGAGTCAAACTATCATTTCCTCATTTGCCGTAAAAACCAGCACATTGTTGGTGCCGCAGCTAAAAATAAGAGCCCGTGGCTGAGCCTCAGGAAAGTACCTGGGAGGGACAGCTCCAGGTCAGCGGTCAGCACAGCCCTCGACTTCTCAGACTGTTGCTGACAAGTCCTAGTAACTAAACTAAGGGACCAACTGATAAATGCGATAAATGATGCATTCTGTCCTTGTCGCCTGTTTGGTGACAACTCCTGGGGATAAGAAAATGAAACCCTCATTCTAAGTGGGACCAGGGGCAGAGGAGTACAAAATGAGCACCTTCCACAGGGTTCAAGATTCTCAGATGAGAAGCAAGTGCGGGTTCTGCGGGGTGCCGGGACTGCAGGGAGGGAGCAGGACTGAAGGGCAGCCGTGGAGGAGACCACAGCCACTTGCCACACCTGCGGGGAGAGCTGGCTGAGTGAAGCCCAGCCTGCCAGGGTGGCATCCTGCAGCTGAGACTCTGCAGGCAGGGGCGTGAGGCTGGCACCAGGTCTGAGACCGCGATGAGCAGAGGACCCGGGAGAAAGAATTGGCCACTGCATGGGTGTTTTGTTTTTCCAGCACTGGAAATTGAACCCAGGGCCTTTGCACTGATCTACATCCCCAGCATTTTTAAATTTTGGGACAGCATCTCCATAAGTCCCTAAATTCCCTGGCTGGCCTTGAATTTACAACCCTCCAGCCTCACCTCCCGGAGTGCTAGGGTCACAGCCTGGTGTTTCTCAGAGTGAGGGTCTCAGGTGACATAAGATCACTTGGGAGGAGCATTTGGGAGTGTCCTGAGCTCCTCTGACCCCTGCAGACTGGACGGTGATGACCACAGGACTTTGCTGTCCCACAGTCCTGGAGGCCAGAAGTCCCAAATCAAGGTGTCCACAGGGCTTTTTGTCCCAAAGGCAAGTGAGACGCTCTTCCCCGTTCTCCCGCTGTGGCATGGCAAGTCCTTGCCAGGCCTGAGTCTCTGGTCCTGTTAGGAGGCCCCACACTGACCCAGCATGAGGTCATTGGGGTTCAGGAAATCACGGCACTTGATCACATCTGTAAAGCCCTCTTTCCAGCAAGTCCCTTCGGAAGTGCCGGAGTAACACGTTGGCCATAATCTTTCCGGAGGGCACATTCATCCCTGAACTGGGCACTGCTCGCTCACAGGCCTGTGCCCCACATCAGTCCAAGGATCCACAGTCTCTAGACCTCCAATTTCCAGTCTCTGGTTATTCCAGAGAGGAGCTACAGAGGTGCAGATCCCGGGCCTCCGAATCCCCCTGAACCCACTCCACAGCGCGGGGCCTGGTGGAGGCCCCAGCTGTCTCCCGCTTCCTTTTGCTCCACCCTACCCCACCCTGCGAAGCCAAGGCCTTGCAAAAGCCCTCTGCCTCCGAGCCACAACCCGGGCCTTTTTGTTTTTAAGACAGTCTCACCAAATTGTCCAGCCTGGCCTTGGACTTTCAGTCCTCCCGCTTCAGCCTCCCTGGTAGCTCAGATTACAGGCGTGTATCACTGCTCTGATTTATTATTTTGTTTGTTTGTTTGAGACAAAGTCTCTGGCTATGCAGTGCAGCTGGCCTTGAACTCATAGTGACTGTCCTGCATCAGCCTCCCTCAGCCACTGCTCTCCGTTTAGATCCTTAAGGTAAAGCGAATGCTCTGGAAATGCATGGTAGCCTGCACTGCCTTTTGCTTTAACCTCCTTTTTGTTTCTCTCTTTGTTCTGCCGGATTTTGCTCTGCAGAGCTGGTTTACTCAGACCCATTAACCCTGTACTTTTGTCTTTTTCTCTTTTTGAGGCAGGGTCTCACTACGCAGTTCAGGCTGGCCTTGAGCTCACTTTGTAGCCCAGGCTGGTCTCCAATTTGCAGTGATCCTCCTACTTCAGCTTCCCACGTGCTGGGATTACAGACGTGAGCCAACTTTTTTTTTTTTTTTTTTTTTTCTTTTTCATTTTTATCGGTACCAGGGATCGAACTCACTACCACCTGCTTGCAAGGCAGGTGCTTATGCCGCTGAGCTAAATCCCAGCCCCAACCCCACAACTTTTCAAATAAACATTTTGGCACTGTTTAAAATGAAGAAAGTGAACACTGCCCTGCTCTTACAAACTGTACCTTATAAAAAGCGCCCATCTGTGCATTTAGGCAAATCAAGTTTCTATTCACAGCTGTGGAAATGGAAAGGTGGAGCCTTCTCTTTCCACTGTATAAATTAAGGTCATTTCCCTTCATGCAATAGCAAGCATCACCAGGCCTCGGCCCTGGACTCCCACAGCCCCCATGGGAGGCAAACCGTGGCCCCTGAGATCATCTTTGGACCTCAGGAGGGGACTCCCTCTCCTCCCCAAGGCTCCCACTGACAGAATCATTGGTAGAAGTCAGCAAAACAATGCCCCAGAGACCAATTGCAACCCTGCTATAGCCACATTTTCTTCAAATCAAGACTTTGCATGAGACTTTAAAACAAGGTATTCCCTCCAAGATGAGGTTCTCATGAAACTGTTAAAGAGGCACAGCTGGGTGTGATGGTACATGTCTGTAAAATCCCTGCACTCTGGAGGCTGAGGCAGGAAGATTGCCATGAGTTCAAGGCCAGCCTGGGCTACACAGAGTTCAAGGCCAGACTACAGAGTGAGACTCTGTTTCCAATCAATGGGTAAATAAAAAACAAAGAGGTGCCAGGAGGCAGTGTCTGTTGACTTGTCAGTCAACTTGTCAGTCAGCCTGAGCGGCCAGGCCTGGAGGAGTTTCCAAGATTGCCAGCTCTTTGATGTCCAAGGCCCTCTCAGTCACACACTCTGATTTTTGGGGCTCATTCTCCTTCCTTCGAGGAGACTTCGAGGTGCTGTCATGTGCACTGCAGTGTGGTTTTCTTGTTTGCTTGGTTGGTATGGCTTGATTTGGTTTGGTTTTTGGAAATAAGATCTCCCTATGCAATGTAGGCTGTCCATGAATTCATTGTGTAGCCCAGGCTGGCCCCAAATGCACAGCAATCCTCCTGCCTCGGCCTCCCGAGTGCTGGGATCACAGGTGTGCGCCACTATGTATTTGTTTTGAGATAGGGTCTCATCTAGTCCCTAAATTCCCCAGGCTGGGCTCGAATTTGTGATCTCCCTGCTTCAGCCTCCCAGAGTGCTGGGATTATACAGGTTTTCCATCATGCCCTGTTCTTGAAAAGAACACTACCGCCCACTGGTAACACACCCTTCTGTCCCCACCTCCCATTCAAGGGTAATTTTGCTTAATCCTGACTTCCATCCTGGGGGATCAGGAAGGCCCAATAGGAGGATCATAGGATCTTTCAACCTTCAACCACAGGGTCTGCCTATGAAACAGCAAAGTCACTTGTAAGCAGATCCCTGGCTGGGAGAGGGGTCCCCATGAGGCAAGAGTGAGCTTGGGGCTCCCTGAGGTGCCAGCCTCCCGCTGCCATCTCCCTGCTCCTCAAAAGCCCTACTTCCTTGAAGTTACCTCTCTCTCCCCTTTCAGCCCACGACTCTGGGCTGAGCCCTGCCCTGAGAAGCCTCGAGGATCTGGGTCACGCTCTCAGCCCCTGCCCTCTCCTACTCCTCTGAAACCAGGTGTTCCCGGCTCAGGGTGCAGGGGCCCCACTGTCCCCCTGCATCCCAGGTCCTGTGGTAGGACTGGCATGACCAGGCCTCTGAGCTTGGAGGGAGGCCATGCCCAGACTCTGGTCTAAATGGACAGCTGTCCATCCACACCATATACGACCCATCCGACAGGCTACAGATGGCAGCTCAGGTAATCTGCAAAGAGCAGCTGGATCACAGCATCTGGGTGAGCACCTGTGTCCCCCAAGAAGGTCCCAGAGCTAGAGAGGGCACCAGGCTGCCATTGCCTTTGGATTCGAGTTACTCAGCCAAGTAGTATGTTTCTCAGGGCAGAGACCAGTGACGGGACATGGGCCTGTCCCCTTGAGGCTCACGGTGAGCAAGGCTGGCTGTCAGAAGGCAGATCTGGGGCTTGGCCCTGCTTTTCTGTGTTCTTCCTGCCTCGGGAAGCTTTCGTGAACACATCTGTGTCTCACAGCATCTCCTCCGCCTCCGCCTCCGCCTCCGCCTCCGCCTCCGCCTCCGCCTCCGCCTCCGCCGCCTCCTCCGCCTCCTCCTCCTCCTCCTCCTCCTCCTCCTCCCCCTCCTCCCCCTCCTCCCCCCTCCCCCTCCCCCTCCTTCCCCCTTCCCCTCCTCCCCCCTTCCCCTCCTCCCCCCTCCCCCTCCTCCCACTCCCCCTCCCCCTCCTCCTCCGTACTGGCAATTGAACCTAGGGCTTTCCTACTGAGCTATATCCTCACAGTTGTAATTTTGAGTCTGGGTCTTGCTAAGTATTAAGTTGCACAGGCTGGGATCCAGCTTGCAATCCCCTGCCTCAGCCTCCCGGAGTTCTTAGATTACAGGCCTCCATGATCACACCCAACTCTCATGGTGTCTTGTACTGCAATATTCTGGACAGAAAAGGCTTGAACACAGGAGAGAGGCCTTTCTCCAGCATTGGGGTGGGGTAGGTGAAATTAACAAAAAAATTCACTTTTTATTTTTAGACAGGGTTTCGCTATGCAGTTTAGGCTGTCCTTAAACTCACTTTGTAGCCCAGGCTGACCCTGAACTTGAAGTGACCCTCCTGTCTCAGCCTCCTGAGTGCCGGGATTACAAAAATTAACTATTTTAAAGGGATAGCAGTAGGGGCTGGAGATATAGCTCAGCATAATGCATCTTCCTCGAAAGCACAAGGTTGTGAGTTCAAACCCCAGTAACCAAAAAACCCTAAAGTGATGGCAGTGACTTTCCGTACATTCCCCACGTCAGACCATCGCCACATCTCTCCAGTTTGAAAACATTTTTGTCACCCTAAAAGGATACCCTACACCCATTGAACAGTGACTCCCCACTGTCCCTCCGGAGCCACCAGTCTGCTTCCTGCATCTGCACTTTCCTGTCGTGAACACAGTGCATAAACAGACTCATGTAAGGGTCGCTCTCCAGGTCTGGCTTACTATGGTTTCAGCCCCTCTGTGCTGTCGAGTGTATAGGGCACTTTTTATTCATTTATTAATCACCAACCCATATTATTTTTTAAGACTAAATAATATTCTTTGCATGGCCCTACCACATGGGCATTTGCTGTGGCTTGCTTGCAGCGCTGGGTATTAAACCCAAGGCCTTGGTACTGAGCTGTCTCCTCAGCCCTTTCTACTTTTTATTTGGAGACAGGTTCTTGCTACATCACCAGGCTGGGCTCCAATTCCAGTCTTCCTGCCTCAGCCTCCCAGAGTGCTGGGCTTAGAGGTGTGCATCACCACACCAGGCTTCTGAGCACTGTTCTGTGAAGCCAGAGCCGGGGACATAGCTCAGTGCCTGCCTGCCAAGTGCAAGGTCCTGAGTTTGATCCCCAGTACCAAAAAGAAATTTATCCAGCTGTCGATGCAGATTCAGGCTGTCACCACCTTTCAGTGCTGGTCCTTCTCTCTGCGTGAACCTGTGTCCACGTGTATCTATTAGACCATTTCCAGCTTTTTTGCTACAAGTCTAGCAGTGGAATCGTGAGTCTCGTGATAACTCTCCGTTTCACTTTGAGTAACTGCTAAACCAAGCGTTTTCTTAATGTGCCTGGTTAATCTGGATTTCTTTCTTCCTGTTCCGTCTGTCTCACCCCCCAGAAATCTCCATTGCCTACAAAGTCCTGGAGGTGTACCCCCAAAGCCGCCGAGTTCTCCTCACGTGCCACGCACCTCAGGCATCTCCGCCCGTCACTTACTCCCTCTTTGCCAGCCAGGGCATCTTGGTGTCTAAGAAGGTGGTGTGGACTCAGCAGCCGGCCTCCTTCAGCATCAACGTCACACACAAGTCCAGCCCGGACCTGCTCTCCTACTTCTGCCAGGCAGTCTCCACCTCCGGCCTGCAGTGGCTCAGCACCCAGCTGCAGATGTACTGGGAACTGTGGGCCAGTGAGTGTGGCACTGGGAACCTGGGGCGGGACTTCGGGCACCTGGGGGGGCCATCGAGAGCCGGAGTGGAGTGAGGTGGAAGGCCAAACTGCCCACCTCCAGGCTGCGGTCAGTACCTGGAGCCGGGCACCTCGAGACCCCAGGACACAATCTCCCGGCAGAGCTGGAGGCCAAGAAGCTGGAGGGTGGGGGGCAGAGGCAAGGGCTGCACTTGGGGCTGATGCATATGGGGGGCGCCCTTTTCCAGCTCTCTTGGTGGATATCCAGCCTGCGCATGATGAAGCTTAGAGACCAGGAAGTCACCCTAGACCAAGGCTGGCTTCAAATCCCGCATGGTCCCCACAAATCCACTCCCCCCACTTCCATCCCAGTCTGCTTGCAGTGTCCTTGGTAGGAGCCGGAAGTGCTGCCCGGCCTATGGTGGTACCAGGACTCCTACCCGTCCTTTGCCCACATCCTGATTACACCAACCAGGAGAGGCAGCCCGGTGGGGGGAGGTACCCAGGCCTGAGGCCAGAGGAGGAGGGTTCAGAGCCCCCCATGAGCTGGCTGTGGAGTTCAGGATGAGTCACTCCATCTCAAGGCAGCTGCTTCTGCAAAGATTATAATAGGGCTCTAAAGCCAGCATGATAACTGCAATGACAGCCCTTGAGAAGCTGAAGCAGGAAAGTCATGAGTTCGAGGGCAGCCTGTACTACAAAGTCAAAACCCTATCTCAATAAGCCAAAAATGAAAGAAAGAAAAGAGGTCATCCTTGGGGGTGTAGAGGGCTCAGGTGAGGAGCATTTAGTATGTAGCGGCTGGCAGGGCTGGGCATTGTGCATGCCAGGCAAGAGCTCTGCCACTTAACTACATGCAGCCCCGGCCCTAGTTTTGTTAATTTTTTGTTGTTGTTGTCTTTTTCGTTTTTTTTATTGGTACCAGGGGTCGAACTCACGACTGCACACTTACAAGGCAGGTGCTTATGCCGCTGAGCTAAATCCAATTAAGATTAAGTTAATCTTAATTGATCTCATTTTTCATGCTAGAATCAGGCAGCACTTCATTCCATAAAACAGGATAAGTACTCTGGTGGGCTGACCAGAACTGTGTCAAGGAGGGAACCAGGGTGCAGTATGGGCTCTAACCCTGAGCTGCACCCCTGTCCCTGAGAGAGAGAGAGAGAGAGAGACAGAGAGAGAGAGAGAGGCTTGGTTTCTGAGAGAGAGAAAGGCTGCAAAAAGCAAGAGCAAAGGACAAGGTGACCTGGTCATTTCAAAGTTGTCTTTCTTGGGAAAACCAGGGACAAAATATAACAAGACTGGATGACAGGGGCTGAGGGTCAGGAGGAGCAGTTCGGAGGTAGACTTGCCCAGCACTGCCCTAAGGTCTGGGATTTGCATCCCCAGCACTAAAGAGGAGTCGGGGGAGAAAAGGAAAGAAAAGAAAAAGAAAGCAGGAAAGACCTGATGGATTCATATCCCATTGTGTTAGGTCCCCTTTTCAGTTCAGGACTGGTATATCGGGAGCATCACTGATATGTCAGTTCGGACCAGTCTGTTTGGGAGATGCAGCTATTCTCTTCAGAATTCTGATTCTCAAGTTAGATAAAAACAGCTTTGTTCTAGCTTGGTGATCTGGTGCTGCAATGTGTGTGACTCCATTTTGATTTTTTAGTCAGGAAGTACAGAAGATTAGCCTGAAAGGAGTTTAAAATTACAGTTGTCAGATAAATAGGACATGCTGCAATTTAAAAAAAAATTATTCATTGTTAGCACTAAGCGTGGGGGCACACACCTGTAATCCCAGCACCCAGGAGGCCAAGGCAGGAGGATCATCTTGACTTTGAGGCCAGCGGGGGGCTACATAGCAAGACTGGAGTCCCAAAAAACAAAAACAAGAACATTAATTGTTTATCTGGAATCCAAATTCAACTGGATCCAAATCCAAATTCATTGTATTTTTATTTGTTAAACCTGGCAACTGCAATATACTACACAAAAGTGAAACCAAAAGTGAACTTGTGGAGCGCTCACCATGAGTAGGCTAGCGGGCCGGGCCCCTGGACACAGAGCTGCACCTCGAGGTTCAGGAGCATCCTGTAATGGGGATTCACTGGGACGGGTGAAAATCTCCCAGCTGTGACTGTGCTACTCACTCACCCTGCCAGAGCCGGTGACCCAGCTGCAGGCTAATGTCACCTTGCACGATGGAGGGTCAAGCCCCCAGGCAGAGATGTCCTGCTGGGCACCTTCGGGCAGTCCACCCATCACCTATCGCCTGGTCAGCAAGGATGGGCAGGTCCACATGCAGAAGACTCCGCCCCATGGGCAGCCCGCCAACTTCTCTATCCCGCCGTCCCCCATGCCGGGATGGTTCCAGTGCCAGGCTGAAAACAGCATCAGTGTCCAGAGCAGCACCCTCATGCTGGTGCCTCCAGGTAAGAGGGTCACTCAGTGTCTAGAAGGGAAGCTGGTACTGCTGGGCTGCGAGGGAGCTGTGCCAAGTGTCCGGGAGGCCACTGTCCAGAACAGGGGAGGGCCCCAGCAAGCAGCCCGCTCTCCCTGGTACCTGCAAAGACAGCCCAGCCCGGCCACCTCTGCTGCCCACAGGGGAGCTGCCCCAGGGAGCTGCACTTGTGCTGGCCGGAAGCCTCATCTCCATCGCAGCTATGACCTCCGGGATGCTGGGCTGGACAAGGTAAGCAGTGGGTGCCTGGTGTCGGGGAGCAGGGCTGCCACGTGGGCTGAAAAGGCACAACAACCACAACTCAAGGACACTTACTGAGCCAGGCACGGCAGCGCAAGCCTGAGATGCCAGCATGAGGGAGACTCAGGCCAGGGAAGCATCGAGAATTTGAGGCCAGAGTGAGTTCAAGGCCAGTCTGCACTGAACTGCACAGTAAAACCTTGTAAAAAACCAAAACAAACACATTTATGAAGAGCCTCTCATGCTGAGGACTACCAGTGTGCACACTCCTTGCACACCTGAGCCTCAAGGACCTCCTGCCATGGTGTCAGTGACCTGGGGAGAGCGCTTTCCTTCCTTCCTTCCTTCGTTCCTTCGTTCCTTCCTTCCTTCCTTCGTTCCTTCCTTCCTTCCTCCCTTCCTTCCATTAAGGCCTGATGAAGCTTCCAGGTGACCACAGTGGACCTGGACGTTCTGTCTTTCTGGAATCACACTGTCAGCCTTTCCCAGGTGGTGGCAGGAGGCAGGATTCCCTCTTCAAGGTCCTTGCCTCCTCCACATGTAAAGTGACAGGGCCTCTGTGCTATGTGACCCGAGGCAGGGCTGGCCTGAGGTAGTGTAGTGGCCACTCTCACCTTCCTTGACTTCTCCTCTTGGCACCTGTCTGCCTTGGGCTCTCTGCCTCCAAGTCTTTGCAGAGGCCAGACCTAAGGGGACCCGTGTTACCTTCTAGGCCTAGTGTTCCCTTCTGTAAAATGGGGCTCAGAGAGACCTGGCTTTCTGTGAGCGAGTGGTCAAAGCCAGTGCTTGCCCCCTTCTTTGGGTGGAGTGCCACTGCCTCCCCTGCTGCACATGTACCCCACCTGTCCCCTGCAGAGACTGCAGGAGCAGGTGGCTGAGTCGGCCCAATATCATGGTCCAGGTTGTGACTGGAAGATGCTGGTTTGTGGAATCCACTCCAGCCTGGCCTTGCCCTTGAGCCCTGAGGAAGGCAGAAGGACCCTCCACCAGGATGAAGAGGTGCCTCGGGCAGGAGAGAAGGGGAGAGGTGACCTGAGCAGCACGGCAGCACGGGTGTGGGAGGCGGGAGTCTTCGGGGATGTTGGTGGGGGACTTGTCCTGTGTGTGTGTGTGGGGGGGACTCCTGCTAACCAGGTAGCTTTCTGCTGCTGTTGCTATGGAAACAAAAAATTGGGTAACTGGGATAAGGGTCATGTTTGCTGGCTTCACTGAAGGAAACTTTTTATGTGTGTATCTAATAACAGTAAGTTGTATATCTTAAACATACACAATAACATTTATTTTTAGCTGTGTATCCTGGGGTATGCCTGTAATCCCAGAACTAGGGAGGCTGAGGCAGAAGGATCGCCAGTTCAGGGCTAGCCAGGACGACATGAGGCCAAGGCCAGGCTAGACTACCTAGTGAGACTGTTCCAAGAACACAAAACAAACAAAAAGAAGAAGAAAGAGAAGGACAAGGGGAAAAAGAAAAGGAAAAAGAGCAAGGGAAGCAGAGAGATGGAGAGTAAAAATGTAATTGAAAATCTTATTTTTATTTTTTGTTTTTTTGGCTACGATTTCGTGTGTAGTCCAGCCTGGTCTTAAACTCATGACAATCCTCCTGCTTCAGCCTTGACACAGAATTCCAGATATACATTACTGCACCCACTAAATTTAATGACAAAAAAAAAAAAAAAAAAAAAAAAGAAAGGCTGAGGCAGGAGGATCATGTTTTCACATTTTTGAGCCCAACCTGGGCAACTTAGTGAGATCTTGTATGAAAATAAAAAATAGAAAAGAGGTGTGATAAAGCCCACTACGAAAGCCCCAGGTTCAGGGCCCAGTGTGGATCCCCAAAATCTCTAGCACACAAAACAAAACAAAACCGAATCAACCAAACAACAGAAAAGAAAGAGGGAAAAAGGCAGCCTGAGATGCCTGTAATCCTAGCATTCAGGACACCAAAGCAGAGGTATCTTGAGTTTGAAGCCGGCCCTGATTACACAGTGAGACAGCATTTCAAACTTGCTGCACACCCACCCAGGTCCTCCCAAGAAGAAAAAAAAAGAAAACTGGACATAGTGGCGCACACTTGTAATCCCAGTACTGGGGAGGCTGAGGCCGGAGGATGGTTGTGAGTTCAAAACCAGCCTGGGCTACAAAGTGAGCTCAGGACCAGCCTGCACTGCGTAGCAAACCCAGTCTCAAAAAAAAAGAAAAAAAAAAAAGAAAAAGAAAAAAAGAAAAAAATGCCTGCCAGCCTGCTGGCTCTCGCGAAACCCGGCTCATATCTGAGTCTGCAGCACCTCTCTAGGGGGAGGGTGCGGCCCTGAGAGCCTCCCTGGGACCCCCTCACTAGGCAGGGAATCTACCTTCCGGCCCCTGAGGACCCGGGCCCTTGGGGGAGGGTAGAGGAGGCTGGAACTGGGTCGAACTCTGTCCCCTGGGGGCCTGTTTCGCTCAGTCTTAGCATTTCTAAACTTGAAGCCATCTGCCCTTCGCGTCCCGGCATCCTCGTGGGCCAGGAAGAATGGGAAAATGGTGGCGGTGGGGCCTCCACCCAGGCAGGGGTAGCTCTAGCTCAGAGGACAAGGAAGTGACCGGTAAGGAGGGGGAGACCGGGATAAGGCCTGGGCTTTTTTTGGTTATTTTTGCGGAGCTGGGGTTCAAACCAATGACCAATGACCTAGTGGGCCTTCTCCCACTAAGCTACACCCTCAGCCCTTAATTTTTTACTTTAAGAGTTTTGCTAGATCGGTAAATTGCCCAGCCAGGGTTGACCTCGGGATTCTCGCATCTCGGCCTCCCGGAGTGCTGGGACTGCAGGCCAGGCCAGGTGGGGCTGGAGGGGCCCGGGCCGAGAAACTTCCCGAGCCTGCGTTTCGGGCCGCGGCGGCCCGGCGGGCTCCTCGCGGGAGCGCGCTGGCCTCTCCCTGGGGCCGGCCCGCGCGCAGGCCGCCGGCCCCCGCCGCCGCGGCTCGGAGGCGGCACTTTGGCCCGGTCCCTGGCCCAGGCCACGCCCCGTGGGCGGGCGGGGCGGGGCGGCCGCGGGTTCCTGCGCTCGCGGCCCGCGGCAGGCGACGGCGACATGGAGAGCGGGGCCTACGGCGCGGCCAAGGCCGGCGGCTCCTTCGACCTGCGGCGCTTCCTGACCCAGCCGCAGGTGGTGGCGCGCGCCGTGTGTATGGTGAGCGGGGAGCTGCGGGGGCCCGGGACCCCTCCGCCGGGCCGGGCCGGGCCGGACCGGAACCCCAGCCCGAGAGCGCGACAGGTGGCGGCGGCCGGCGTCCCGTGCCGGAGACGCGTGGGCCCGGCCTTGAGGGACCCGGCCGCCCTCGCGCCTCGCGCCCCGGCCCCGCCGTCCACGCTCGCGCCCGGGCCCAGGCCCGAGCCCCGCCGCCAGGCGCGGAGTCGGACCGCGGGAACAGGCCTGTCGCCCTGCTGGCGGAGGCGGAGCCTGGCGGCTCTGGAGCAGGTGGCCGGCGCTGGGCAGTCACCGGGAAGGGGCGTTCAGGAGCTAGGCGGGGCGCTGCAGGACTTGGTGCCCTCCACAAGGTCCCCTTCCCACGCCGGAGCTGGCCCGAGTCGTGTGCCCCGCAAGGCTATGCCTGCCCCACGGCCGGGCGAGCTCGCTGGTGCGCTGGTGCCGGGTGAGCTCGCTGTGCTGGGTGGGAAGTAGGAGGATGGTGACAGCTGCCAGGCCGAGACGGACCTGCCTGCGGACCCCGACCCGATTGTGGAGTCTGCCGGGCTCCCTGGCCTGGCCCTGGCCCGGATGCCCTGTGCGGGGCGAGACGGCAGGCCAGGAGTTCTGGGAGCCCTCTGGCCCTGGCACCCGGAGTTCCGGCTTCATCTCCAGCGGGGAGGTGGGGCTTGTGACTGGCCGAAACCCTATTGAGCTTCCAGCCCCGGCACAGCAGGGCCCTTGGGGTGCTCTCAGGGGGACCACAAGTGTCCACCTCAGAATCCGCAAACATCTGCTGGGCATGGGCCATGGCCTTAAATTGTGGGGAGCAAGCCAGGTGATTTGGTCTGTGCTCTAGGGGCTGGGGTCCCCCTGGGAATTCCAGCGGTCTGCGCTCCCCTCCCCCCAGTCTTCAGCCCCACTCCAGGAGTCTGAGCTTGGGGCCTTGTCTGTCCTGTGGTCCGACCACCTGCTGTGGGGCAGCGGGGAGACTGGAGCTCCCTGGGAAGGGAGGGGACCAGGATGCCAGGGAGGCCGGAAGTCCTTGTAGGGAGGAAGCTGGCAGGACTGGGGAATTAAGGCTGGACCAAGGAGGAGTTAGTGGGGCCAGGGCTGCTGCTGGGCTGGAGCCTGGAGAGGCAGGAGCGCCCACTGGCTTTGGCATGGCTTTCTAAGGTGGGGGGTGCTCTTTATCGGGGTGGCTGGAAGAGGTTGGCAAAGCAGAGGTGGTTCCCAAACCAGGTGACGAGGCAGGGAGCAGCAAGTGGGTCTCACACTTTGTAGCCTACATTGTTTGTCGTCTAAAATTCAAAGTGGGGGTGGGTAGATTGCCCTATGTGTTTAAAAAAAAGGTGACACTGCAGACAGTGACCTTGGCAGGGGACTCCCCTCCTAGGAGTTCCCCTTCCAGTCCCCACCTCCCCAGTTCAGGAATCCCCTGCTTGGACCTCATGGCGGGACACTATGGTCTGGTGATTCCCTGCGAGCAGTTTACCTGTGAGTCCTCCCTGGACAGTTCAGAATGAAAGGCAGCAGTGGAATGGGCCAGTGTCCCCACAGCCTGCTGGGCCCCTTCCGGAGGATGCGCCCTCCAAGTTGGTCGGGGGTGCCTACTCTGCAATGTCCTCCTGTCTTAGGTCTTTGCCTTGATCGTGTTCTCCTGCATCTTCGGTGAGGGCTACAGCAACCCACACAGCTCCGCTCAGCAGCGCTGTGTGTTCAACCAAAACGAGGACGCCTGCCGATACGGCTCCGCCATCGGGGTGCTGGCCTTTCTGGCCTCGGGCTTCTTCTTCGTCGTCGATATCTATTTCCCCCAGATCAGCAATGCCACTGACCGCAAGTACCTGGTCATCGCTGACCTGCTCTTCTCAGGTATCTACCTGCCGTGCCTCTGTCCTAACCTTCAGGACAGGCACCAGAGCCAGAGGCATGTTAGGGTCCCATGATTAAAGCCCTTGGTGCCCGAGGGAGGGATGGAATCACCAGTCCCAGTGAGCAGATCGGCTTCGTCCTGTCCACCCTGGGCTGTGATGGAGACTTTCGGAGCCTCTGCTGAAACCCACCGGTGTGGATCATGAGGCAGATCCCTCTGGCTGGGCATCGCCCTTATGCCCTCTGCTTGTATAGTTCACACATTCTGGGCTTGGGGAGATCCTTGCTTAGTGCTGTCCCTCCTGGACCCCTGTCCCTCCCTGGAGCCAACCACCCTCTCCCTGTCCTTCGGCCAGCTCTCTGGACCTTCCTGTGGTTTGTTGGCTTCTGCTTTCTTACTAACCAGTGGGCCGCCACCAATCCTGAGAATGTGCTGGTGGGGGCTGACTCAGCCCGAGCAGCCATCACCTTCAGCTTCTTCTCCATCTTCTCCTGGGTGAGTAGCTGGGGCTGGGGGCAGGGCTCAGCACTGTGATGAGCCCCCCACCCAGCACCCGACACCCTGCCTAACTCACATCTCCCTTCAGGGCACCCTGGCCTCCCTGGCCTACCAGCGCTACAAGGCTGGCGTGGACGCCTTCATTCAGAACTATGTGGACCCAACCCCAGACCCCAACACGGCCTACGCCTCGTACCCTGGCGCGTCGGTGGACAATTACCAGCAGCCGCCCTTCACCCAGAACGCAGACACCACTGAGGGCTACCAGCCGCCCCCTGTGTACTGAGCGGCACTGCAGGGCAGGGGAGGGTGCCCGTTCCCCTGGGCCTCCCCTTAAGGCCTCCTGAAGCACCCTGGTCTGTGTGCCCAGCAGCACACAAGCGCCTACTCCCAGAGGAGCTTCAGTCAGCCCCACGCCTCGAGGGCGTTTTTGAGGAAAGGTTTTCTAGTTGCTTTTTTTCTTTGCCCTTGGTGCTGGGGATAAAACCTAGGGCCTCGAGCTTGCCAGGTGGGTGCTTATGCTGCTGAGCCTAATCCTCAGCCCCTCTGTTGCTTTTAATAAGCCCCATGCTGCCTGGAGTAGCCTTCCGCACACTGTGACAAGCACCACAGCCTTGGCCTGGCAAGGACAGCTGGTCAGCTGGGCTTTATGCCAAAGATGGGCCAGGGCCTCGTGCTGGTGCTGGGCTGGGGCTCCCACCTCCTCACTCAGGTCTGCCATCTGCACCTCTGTGCCTTTAGCCTCCAGGGTCTGCCCTGCTCGCCTGGGCTTACGCTGTGTCCTCTGGGGGGGTCACTGCTCTGTGCCAATCACTTTCAGGCTGGCTCCCTGACAGCCACAGGTATGAGGATAGTGCCTGCGTGGGAGACCTGTGGCCCCTTCTTTTTGCTCCCTCCCTGGCAGCAGGGTGGGGCTTTTGCCTGACATAACACCCAGCTTTATGTAAATATCCTGCCACTTGAGTTACCCAGTGTGGCAGCCATGGCCCCCAGACTGAATGTATTGAAAAGCCTTGGGGGAGATGCCCCTTGCCCCTGGGTTCTATTAGACTGGTTTGGAGATGGAATAAATGTTTTTCTCAGTTTCTGTGTCCTGGGTTGGGCCTATCTAGGGGAGCAGGTGGAATCCCTCAGGGCACCCTTGGGGGGCCGTCTTTGGGACTGCATTTTGAATTTTTGATGTGTAGCATCCCTTCCCCCAACCTGAACCAGCATCCTAAAATAGCTAGTGTGCTCAGCTTGTAAACAAAGACAGGTTTTTCTGGCCTGCTATGCTGGGTCAGGCGGCTGCCTTCCTGAGAGGGTGGGGGGCACTGGGAGCTGCTTCTCAGAAGACCCTTTGGGGCGGGCCTGGGCCTACCACTTCCCTCCAAGTCAGGGTTCAAAGCACCTGGGGACTCCTTCCTGGGCCAGGACCAGGGGAAATGAGCCCTTTACACAGGAGACAGGGCCCCTGAGGAACTTGTGGCTTCTCTTTTTGTGTAACTGTCTGAGCTGTCAGCAGCAGACTGAGTTTCCAAACCCAGGTACAGATGAAGAGGTCCCTGCTTAGTGGCCTGTGAGCTCCAGGCCACACCAGACCACCAGCAAGTGGGGACACAGCAAGGGTAGAGGGTGGGCTGCCGGGGTGTTGACCCCTCTGTACTGGCATAGGTGTGACATGCACCAGTGAGCCAGGCCTCTTGGGGCACAGCTAACCTCACTCCTCGGGCCCCAGACTATACCGTGTCAGCTTCACAAACAATTTCCTTGCCTGGTCACCCCAATACCCGAGCCCCAAGCTTTTTTATTCACCCATTTTCATCCCTAAAACCAGACAGATTTTTTTTTTAAAGGCAGGCAACTGTTCTCATGGGAACAGTCCTCAGTCTTCTCATAAATAGGCTTGAGTTAGGAGTTTATACCTTCTAGATACAACCTGGAAGAAACCCTACTCATTATGGGGGAGCAGTGTACAAGACCCAGGACGCCAGGCAAAAGTGAAACGTGTCTTTACCAGCGATGGACTTCTCACACTGGCCATAACGTCCAGGCACTGCAGGGAGAGGCGGGGCCCAGGCCCCGAGTACCTTCTTTAAGAGGCTGGCTTGGGCTTGGGCCCCAGCAGCCATGCTGCAGCTCTGTAGCTGAAAGAGGATGCTTTTCTAGAGAAACCAGCGCTGCTGGAGCTCAAGCATAGGAAGGGATTTCAGCCCAAAGGGCAGCAGGGGACATTGGACCAGATGTCCTCAGAGTGGACAATGGGGGCCTCTGTGCAAGGCGGGGCTCCGGAGCACTGGCATAGACAGCCAAGGAAGAACAGAAACTGCAGTGAAAGCCACAAAGGGGGAAGCAACCAGCAGCACCAGTGTCACAAGAGCCTGTGGCTCTGCCTGTGGCCTGGAGGAGGAGACGGTGTGGACCCCACCACCAGGCCTGGCTGGGGTGGGGAGAGAGGGCCTGTCTCACGGGGCCTACAGCTGTGGCTGCTCTGCGGGGCCACACAGGGCAGCAGCAGGAGAGGGGCAGGAGGGTGGCCCTGGGGCCTCTCAGATGCCAGGGCCACACTGCAGCACCTGCTGAGGGGCAAAGAGTTTCCTGGCCACCAGGGCCTCCCCTGGCACCATCGGGCAATTCTCCTTGTTATCCAGCGTGGCACTCTGGACGGAGGACTTCTTGAAGTAGCAGAGGCGACACACAGAGTGGTACTTGTCGGCTCCACCAATCACCTCTACCTGGCAGCAGGACGGAAAGGAAAGATGGTCTGAGGGCTGTGAAGGGAGTCCCCAGAGGTAGAGCCACACCTGTCCACGCCCCCCACCCCGACCCGAGGCAGCAGAGGCAGCGGCAGCAGGGGGATCCACCTCTTTCTCCTGGCCCAGCCTCTTGGTGTAGGCAGCTTCCCCCCGGAAGCACTCCATGCACACAGCGGTCAGCTTCACCACGCTTTCAGCCAGGGGCACGAGGTTCAGGATGCTACCAAAGGCCTGCAGGTGCCGGAGGATGGGGTGTGTTTGGATTTGGGCTGTACTGTTTGACACCCTTTGCCCAAGGAGCACTGAAGAGGAACTTTCACTTTGCCCTCATGCTCCCTGGGCGCATGCCCTGTTTGTCCCTCTGCAGATAGATGCAAAGCATCTGCCAACATCTGGACAGACTCAGGAGTCCCTGAGCTCAGGCAGTGCCCTCTGGCAGCCGAGCTTGGCCATCACAGGTGGCAGAGAGGGGTACACTGGAGGCCTGTGTCCACCAAGGTCCCTGCTCCCTCCTGATACACCCCCAGGGACCAGACACCTTACCTTCCTCTGAAAGGTCCCGTCCAGGGCTGCCACAATCACTGTCTTCCCAGAATTGGCCATGGCCTCGCAGAAATCCACGATGTCAGGGAACTGAAAAGGGGGGCCGGGAGGAGGGGGGTGAGCTGCTCACCGCAGCAGCAGCTTTCCGGAGCCTCAGAAGAGCTGGCAAGCAAGGCAGCTCATGTGCCTGAGGCTCCTGGACCTGAGGACTGGGGTCCAGCCACAGGCCCTCCGAGCTGTGGGGGCACACATGCCCACCATGCGGGGGGCAACTTCTACCAGCCAGGGAGAGCCCTAGAGCCTTCCCTCGTGGCCTGCTCACAGCCTGATCTTGGACTCAGCCCCTCCAGAGCAATAATGTTCTGTTCCGCACGATCCCATTGCAGTGCTGGGTCAGGGCAGCCCGGGAGACCAAGGCAGGGTCTGTCTGAAGTAGAACTGGGCTGGGGTTGGGGTGCATGCCTCTAGTTTTGTCTGCTAGGAGGCTGAAGAAGGGGGATGGTAAGTTTGAGGCCAGCTCGAGCAACTGAGTGAGATTTGTCCCTAAATAAAAGTCTATAAGGAGCTGGGGCTATAGCTCAGTGGTAGACTGCTAGCCGGGCAAGGGCAAGGTCCTGAGTTCAATTCCTAGGACAAAACAAGAAAAAGGAAATGGGGCAGAGATATTCACAGCCAGATCAAGGAGCACTGACTATTGAGGGAAGAAGGGGGAAGGAAGGAAGGGTGGAAACCTGAAGAGGTGACTTACAAGAGCAAAAATAGCCAATAGGCATGGAGAAGAGAAATGCAGACTGGCATGGTGGCCCACGTGCTCACCCCAGTAAGCCACCCGCACCTGGGGACTTCTGCAGAGGTCCAGCGGATCTCACCACTCTCCGCTGGCCCCATCTTCTCCTGGGCTCTCTCTCGGTCAGGCCGGCCACCCCTCAGCCACTTCCTGTCTCTCCTGTCTCTGTAGCCCTGTGCCGTAGCCTGGCTACTTCTTCACCTTGATGGCTCCTGCTGGGGGCACCTAGGCTCCCGGGGGTTCCTTCAAACCCCACTCAAACAGTCCCCTAAGAGGATCTTCCTTGCAGCAACTCTGAACTCCTCGGCCTTTGCCCCCTGTTAGCAGCCACCACCATGTGAGCGAGGTAAACTCAAGGGTGGGGCCTCATTCTGTGTCCTGAGCTCCAAGGACCTTGCTGTCACCTGAGGCTTCTTCTCTAAACCTGCCATAAACATAAAGGGCATAGCAGTGATATGAGCCACTTGATAAGAACATACCAAAATGGCTGGGGATATAGCTTGCAAGCCTGAGTTCGATTACAGGTACCCACATACACAAAGAACACACCAAAGGCTACAAGGACCTCTGCAAGCTTGAGGCTGATGCAAGAGGATCAAGTTTTTGAGCCCAGTCTAGGTAGCATAAAGCTGTCTCAAAATAAAAGTGACAGTCCTAAGGATGTAACTCGGTGAGAAGGCCTTGGGTTCAATCCCCAGCACCACCAAAACAGAAACTCAAACACCCCTGAAACAACAGGCAGTGTCAACGTATGTCCCTGACAGAGCACACTCCAGATGGGTGGGCAAACATCTGTTGCAGGGGTTCAGAATCCAGAACTGGCAGCCTGGCATCCAGCCACAGACAGACACCCCACATGGCAGGTGGGGGACAGTCACCCTCACTGCAGGAATGGTTCAGGAGCCATGACTTGCAGAGGTGGTGGATGAGGACCATGCCACCAGGCTCTGCACTGGGATCAGGTGAGCAGAGACTGTTACCCACTTACCAAAGAACCACTCAACAAACTTCCTCCTCCAGGGCACCGGCCTAAATGCAGCCAAGGGACCAGCCTCAAATGCCAGCCAGCACAGCAGCAGAGGTAACCATCTGACTTCCAGCCTGAAAGCCCCGCACTGGGGAGTTCTGCAGTCCTTTCCCCTCCCACTTTCTAGCTGGGAGCTGCACAGGGGTCTCCGTCTCCATCACCCAAGGCCACTCAAAGAGAGGGAGGGTGGCAAGTCTGGTGCGTGGGAATTATGTGAGCAATAAATTTCAATAGTGCAATGTACTTCAATCATCATGCTGATACCTTGGATAAATGCATTGCATCCTGATATATATGCTTGTACTAGGGCCTGAAACTGAAGACATTCAACCACTGAGCTGCAAGGTCTATGTTGTCTAGGCATCTTCCTGCCTTAGTTTCCCAGCATGATGGGATTACAGGTGCACACTGCCACAACTAGCCTAGGTAGTTTTTTTTGTTGTTGTTGTTTTTTTGTCTTTTTTCATTTTTATCGGTACCGGGAATCGAACTCACAACTGCCTACTTGTAAGGCAGGCGCTTATGCCGCTGAGCTAAATCCCCAGCCCAACTTAGGTAGTTTTTTAAAAATGTGTGCTCTTAGGGCTGGGGATTTAGCTCAGTGGCATAAGCACCTGCCCTGTAAGCAGGCAATTGTGAGTTCTATCCCCGGTACCGGAAAAAAAGAAAAAAAAAAAAAAGTTGAAAAAATGTGTGGTCTTAAAGGCCTGTAATGGAGGTGTGTTTGTTACAGAAGCTTTCCTGACTCTCTGCTGCCCCAGTGGATTGGAGGTGACTAAAGCTACAGAGCCAGCCACAGATGCTAGCTGAAGTACATTGACCTTGCCATTTACTAAAATACCAGACATAGAATTGCTAATGTGCAAGTCAGCAGGGGGAAGGGGGACGGAGAGGGAGCCCCCAGAAAGCCATACGAGTCAACTCACAAACTGCCCCTCATCGATGCCAATGACAGCCACCCCTAGGGCTTCCTGGGTCGTGTCCCGGAGCAGGCAGGCTGGCAGCGCCTCCATAGTGTTCCTGAGAAAACAGAGCCAGAGCGTGAGGGGCAGCAGGCTGCAGGGGCAGGGTCTTGCCACTGCCACGGCCACCCTCCTCCTAGCAGAGGCTGCAGCGTGGCCCAGCACAGCCCTGAGAAGTCGGCATCTGTGAGGAGGCATGGGGAGAATAAAGGCCCGAGTAGAAAAGCAGTTATTTGATGCTTTGTTATCATCACTATTATTTTGGTGGCATTATTATTTGGTGGTATGGTCTTGCTAGGTTGCCAACTCCCTAGGCTGGGCTTGAACTTGCAATTCTCCCACCTCAGCCTCCCAGCGTGCTGAATTACAGGCATGTGCTACCATGCCCTGCTCAATCGACCCTTTAGACTAGCAATTACCAATGCTTATTTTTTGTCTTGTTTTGGTACTGGGGATCGAACTTCGCATTTGCCAGGGAGGCTGCACTATCTCCCTGGCCAGTGATTCCTGACGCAGTGTGGATTCCAAAGCTCTTCTACTCATCAGTGCACAGGATGGGGGCAGACAAGGCCAGCTTTTCCTTTGGTGCTTGCTATCAATCAGGGTTCAGGGCACTCCAGACAAATGCCCTACCACCGAGCTACAGCCCTGCCAAGGCTGAATTCTTCAGTGCCCAGACCCAAGATACTCTTAAGGGCCAATAAAATGTTTCTATTCCTTTTAAAATTGAAATGAAAGAATACATAAACTCAGTCTGGATTATATCTACCTATCAGTGCTATCACCAAATACAGCTTAAAACTTGAAGGAGAAAAAAAAACAACAAAACTTGAAGGAGGCCAGAGGTGTAGCTCAGTGGTACAGAACACGGTACAGAGGCTGAAGAGTGTTCGGGAATGGTCCAGGCCCACTAGGCGACGCTCTGGACCCACTCGATTCCCACAGCCAGGACGTTTTCGGGAGAAAAATGCCGTGCTGTGTCCACTGCCTTTTAAAATACTTTTTGTGTTTTTCCAGTTTCCTTCTGTTCTCATTTCTGCCTAATCTCCTGCATTTGGCTTCAAAGAGGGCAGGGTCCTTGAAGTTTGTCACCGTATTTATAAAAATTTACAGTGGTGGAGGCTGGGGATTTAGCTCAGCAGCATAAACACCTGCCTTGCAAGCAGGCAGTCATGAGTTCGATCCCCGGTACCGATAAAAAGGAAAAAAGACAAAAAAAAAAAAAAAAATTTACAGTGGCTCACAGCTACCGCTCAGCTACCATCTGGGATAAGGATCCTTGAGCTCCGAGGAGAACACCTAACATTCATACACTGTAAATTCTCTCTCCAAACACAGAATACTAGAGCGAGGGCAGGCAGCTCTTGGCCTCGGCTTTGGTGTGGGCGTTGCTAGAGCATTATCAACACCACCGATGATAGAGACTTGTGACCCATGCAGAGCTCTTAGGTCCAGGCCGCTCTAGAGGTTGCCCCATAAGCACTGTACAATGTCACCTCCTCTGCTTCCGTGACCCTGGGAGCTCACTCCATGCCGTGCAGGGGACAGCAGGGAATGAACTAGGAGATGCGGTGATGGGTGTGGGATGCTGCAGGTCCTGGGCATTTTGCATTCCAACTCTCTTCCAGGTTCACAAAGCCCTGCCCCCACGCCAGCCGTGGGTCACCGAGCTGCCGTTTTGCCTGACAGGGAAGGGCAGCACGTCTGTGTCAGGGAGGCAAGTCCAGACGACAGAAGAGACTGCCTGGGCTCCGAGTGCCAGCCTCAAACCTGCCGCCAAGGAACTGAATTAACTCCCACCCAGAAGCTTCAGGCAGACGTGTCCACAGGACTCAGGGAGATAAACGGAAAAGCCCAGGCGCACACAGGTTACAAAGTGCTGAGGCCACCCAGTGGCAGATGACTAAGAAAGGAAAAATCTGCGGGCAAGTGAAAGAACCAGTTCGCAGCTTCTGACGGGTGTGAACCTGGGCAGGTTGGATGGGCATCTGGGGCCGCGCCATTCCGGGCGTGGGGACGCCCAGGTCGCATGGAATCATCACTGACCGGTGGTGCCCATCTCTGGCCAGGAGCATCCAGGCTCCCTCCAGGTTGAAACTAGAAACGCCTCCAGCACTTGTCAGCTGGCCGCGGGGGTGCAGGCCTTCCCCACTCCTGCTGAGAACCACCAGGCAAGAGCTACTTCTCCAGGCCTGAACTTGAAGCAGTCAGGGCCAGGAGTCAGAATTACCAACCCGCCCCGCGCCTCGCGACTGTCCATGGGACCGGACCCAGGGGGGCGGGACTGACCTGTCATGTGTGGAGAAACTGCTGCTGTAGCGCGTGTCTTTGGCGTACTTAATGACCAGGCACTTGTACTGGGCGATCTGGAAGCGGCGGACTCGCCGCATCAGCTCGGTGCTGCAAGGGACGGGGCTGGTAAGCGTCGCGCACCGGCGGGCTGCGACCGCCCTCTAGCGGCGGGCAGCGGAATCCCGCTTCGGCCTGCGGAGAGCCGCGCAGAGCGCGGGCGAAGAAAAGCGCGGGCTCCGAGTTCGTGCCGGGCTGAGCATCGCGTCCCCTGCGGCCTGCAGTCAGCGCTTGCCGCGGGGCCCGGAACGGCGTCGGGCGGCCCCAGGACAAGCCCGGGGTGGGCAGAAGCTGAGCGCATTTCCAGAGCTGCTCGGTTTTTCTGGGTTAGCCTAAAACGTTTGTTTCTGGGCCCAGAAACTCGACCCTGCTTCATGAGCCGAGCAAGGGATTGGAGCCGGGGTGACGGTCGAGGGCCTTGGCTTCCTCTGTCCCCGAAAGGCCCCTATTTGGGGGGAGGGTGGTCAGGGAGCCCGGGAAGGGGGCGGAAGTAGGGTCCGGGCTACACAAGGAAGCAGCCACAGGGCACTTTTCACATACTGGCTGCCTCACTGTGGACACACCTGGCGCCCCTTTGGAGGGTTTTGGAGGGGGCGACTAGGGTGCAACCAGCTGTGTCCAGTTCCGGGAAGGACCGAGCCCCGCGGGGACGCGCGCAGCTTCTTTCAAGACTGGGCTCCTGGCAGGAGAGGCATGCCCGGGCAGGAAGGCGTGCGCCGGGCGGGCGCCCTGGGTGGGACAGCTGGGAAGACCCAGGGGCAGGGGCACAAGGGTCCCCGGGGAGGCCTTACCTTTTTCCTGAGAACATGGGCCCGAGAATCACCTAGGAGAGAAGAGGTCACGTTGGGGGCCGCTCCACGAGGACGCCAGGCGGCACCCCTCGTCCCACCCCTCACACCTGGATTTGACCGCGAGTCTTGCTAGGGGAGCCGGGCAGCACCGAGGGCAGGTTGATGCAGTTCATGGTGTCTCCCGAAGGACGCGGCGGCACCTGGGATCTGTAGCCCGTCCGCCGCCTGCCGGATCCCGGGGCTTCCCGCGCAGTCCCTCTCGAACCCGGCGTGCGGGCCAATCCGAAGCTCGCTTTGCCAGACCCCGAGCCAATCAGCGCTGCAGCTTTTTTTTTTTTTTTTCCTTTTCTGTCTTTAATCTCAGGATTTTGTTCTTACAGGGCCTTCCGCGCTCTGTGTAGTTCAGGCTGGCCTTGACCTCGTGACCCTCCTGCCTCAACCCGCCCGAGTGCTGAGATCAGGGTGCGATTTAGTCTCAAAATTTTCTCAAATCTCGGGAAGAATCCGAAGGGACCCCGGAGGTGGGCGTGACCAGATGATGCAGAGGCGATGCGGCTGCTGTGGGAAAGCGGGCGTGGCATCAACTGGCCCCGCCTCAGGAAGTGGGTGTGAACGGGAGGGCCCGGCGGGCCCTGCCCCGCCTCCGTGCGGAGAGTGAGCAGCGCAGTCCAGTCCTCAGCTGTGGACCGGCATGGAAGCCAGGCAGGCGGGTCCCGAGGCGCGGGCGCCTTGGCAGGAGATGTCTGCAGAGGTAGGTGGGCTGCAGGGAGGGCTGGGGCTGCGGAGCCTGGCTCCAGGGCCGCCCGGGATTCTGAGGAGGCGCTCCTGCAGGTGATCCTGGGCCAGGTCCCAAAGACTTGGGCACAAAATCTGGTTGACTTTTTTGCAACGGCACATTTTTTTGTTTTGTTTTGCTTTGCTTTGCTTTGCCCGATTTTTGAGAAGGGAGGAGACTAAGGAGACTGCTCAGCAGGAGACTGCTGTGAGGTCAGAACAGACATGAGAAGGAGCAGAGTACGGTGCCTGGCGCTGGCTGTAACACGCCTGGATTATAAATTGATGAATTTGGATACCTATGGATAGGTTTCCTACGCTTTAGGGTGAGGTGTTTCTGGTCTAAGGTACCACTGAGAATCCGATAAAAGGTACAGATACTGCCCAGGAAATCCCATTCCCTGTCCTCCTTCCTTGTTTCTCCTCTTCCTCCTTCTCCTCCTCCTTCTCCACCCCTCTCCACATACACCCTTGCCATCAGTATCGGCTGACTCTTAGACAGCCATTGTTGATATAAATAGTAGCATCCTCAGCTGGGCATGATGATGCAGGATTGTAATCCCAGCACTGAGGAAGCAGAGGCAGGAGGATCGCTGAGAGTTTGGGCACCCTGGACTACATAGGAAGACTCTTTTGATAAATAATGCCATTAGACTCAAGTCCACAAACTCATTCCACAGAAAAACTAATGCCCAAGACCAAGTGCTGGGAGGGGAGGACTTATTTTTGTGACCAAAGAATGGGAAGGCAGAACTCTGGTTTCTTCACTGCAAGCAGCATCTGTAACTTTCATCAGATTCTTAGTGCCTCCAGTCCGGGGTGTTACAGAGCCTGGCAGCAAGGAAGGAAGGAGAGAGGGGGTAGTAACAGGGGTGAATAGCCATGTCTTTTCTGGAGCACTTAGAGATCCTCCAGGACATCTGCTGCTGCCTCTTTTTGAGTCTTTCATGGTCTGGTGTTGCCAGTCATGGCCGCTGGCAGACGTCTTTAGCTTTGCAGGGAGAGGAAAGAGGTCCAGTTAACCCGGTGTTAGCGTCTAGACAAAACCTTTCTCAAGTGAACACCACGCTTACACATGAAACTGAGTAGATTCTGACCCAAAAGGGGGCAGGCAAAATATGAAGACAGATACTCAGCCTTGTAATCCCCTTCCAGTGGGCCTGTGGCACCTCTGTCTGCACAGCAGAGTCACTATCCCAAGCAGTCAGCAACCATTATCCTCCTAACCCACATGGCAGCAGCCTAGGAGGAGGCTGGTAACACCTTGCCCAGCCACATGGCTTCAGAAATGAGTAATCTTTAACTTAATGACGAATGAGGCTTTCCCCTCAGTAACAGGCAGGCCTTAAAGGTCCTTGTATGGCTGGGCAGGGTGGTTCACGTCTGTAATCCCAGCACTTGGGAGAATCGTTTTGAGTTCGAGACCAGCCTAGACTACAAAATGAGCTCAAGGCCAGCCTGAAATACATAGAGAGACCCTGTCTCAAAAAGACAAAACAAGACACACACAAAAAGATCCCTGTGTGAGGCTGGATCGTACCACACTGAGAGTCTCTAGGGAGAAGCCCATTCCACAGAAAAAGGCAACAGCCCCCAAGGGGACTCGCCTTGCCTCCTCTGATGGTGTCTCTCTTAACCTTGTAAGGGGCCGTGTGCCTGTTACACCCGTGAGAGAACAGAGCAGAGACAAGCAAACAGGCCAGGCTGAGGCTGCCAGGAAAGGATGAAGGTTGTATGGCCTTTGGGTCTGGCCTTTCTGTGAGGCCATTCTGTCTTCAAGTTCCCATGATGATGGTTTGAACTCTCTCCAAAATCTGTGTTGAGTCTAAACATTTTGATCACTCATCAAGAATCTCTGGCTGGGCGTGGTGTAATCCCAGCACTCAAGAGCTGAGACAGGTGGATCACTTGAAAGAAAGAGAAAAGAAAAGGAAAAAATGTGTATATTGACCTTGATTACTGAGTTTTTGGCAGTCTCCCTGGTCTCCCTGCCCCCGATAAATGTTAGAGCCCAGATCGGTGACTCATTAACCTGCTGGATGAATCTGCATTTTTTTTTATCTTTTTGAGACAGGATCTAACTATGCAGTGCAGGCTGACCTTGAACTCACTTTGTAGCCCAGGTTGGTCTTGAATTTGCAACAATCCGCCTGCCTCAGTTTCCCGAATGCTGGCATTACAGGCATGCACCACTACATCTGGCTGAGGGTGCATAAATTAAGCGGGTTCATGGATGGTCTCCGTGGTCTCAACTGGTGCAGGAGGGGAAACTGGACATCTTTCTGTCCCTTGGGGCTGGTGGCTGGTTAAAGGCTTGGCCATCGCCAGTGTGGCCCTAGACAGGGATCTGAGAGCATCTTGGTTTTCTGTCTGAACACATCTAGATGGGAGTGTGGGGGGCAGATGTCCACGCAGTTGTTAGAGGGACTTCTTGGAGAATCTGAGATACAGGAGAGGGTGCTTCTCTACACAGACAGGCGCACCAGGAATAGGCACGAGCGGGGTGCACTTGCGGAGAACCCAGGTCTCATTGAGCCTCTGTCTGTCTTGCAGGAGCTGGAGAAGCAGTATTCGCCCAGCAGATGGGTCATCCGAATGGAACCAGAGGAAGTCGTGAGGACCTTCTGGGAGAAGGGAATTGAGGGTACTGTGTGACCACCCCGGGTGGCCTGCAGCGTGTGGCAGTGGCTCGGGCTCGGGCTGCGGGTGGGGGGCATAGGGGCATTTCCCTAACACCCTAACAGGGCACTGGGCAAGCCTCCTCCATTCTGGCGGCAGGTGCTGGGACCTCTTGCTACAGGACAGGGCTGCAGGAGAGACCCACAACCTGCGGAGTGCACAGCCCCCTCTCCTGCCTGGTAAAGGGTCACGGACCCTGAAAGCCTCATGCCGTGATTAACATGGGAAAGGGAAAAGGAAGATTCTCTTACTCCATTGCTGGGAGGGAGATATTGTTGTTCATTGTAAAAAAGGAGTAAAAGCCAGGTGTGATAATGCATGCCTGTAATCCTAGTACTCTGGAAGGGTGAGGCAGGAGGATCAAAATTAATTTCCAGCCAAGCTACAATCCCACCACTCAGGAGGCTGAGACAGGAGGATTGTCAAGAGGGGCTCCATAGTGAGACCCTGTTTTAAAAAGGTCGGAGAATCCAGAAATGTAGCTCGAGACAAAGGCCCTAGGTTTAATCTCCAGTACAAAAAGAGAAAGCGAACAACTTTTTTTTTCTTTAAAGAAATCAGGGCTCACTGAATATGGTGGCTCACTCCTATAACCCCAGCACTCAGGAGGCTGAGGCAGGAGAATCATTTGCAAGTCCGAGACCAGCGTGGGCTACAAAGTGAGCCCAAAGCCAGCCTGAACTGCAAAGTGAGACCTGGTCTCAAAAAACAAAACAAAAACAAAAAGGAAGAAAAAAAAAAAGAAAAGAAATCAGGGCTTGCAAACTACCCTGTCTTTAGGTCCCTGTCTGTTGTTGCCCTGTACCCGTGGGATATTACTTCTCAGTGAAGCGTTTGTGCCGAGCAGAGGAGCCGCCCGAGGCAGAGGTAGAGGTCAGGAAGCCGCCGCCGGGGCCTGCTGGGCAGGAAAACCGGGTATGGACAGACTTGCTCTGTGTAGCTGACAGGCTAGACCTTTCAGGCGGGGCGGTTCCCTAAACTAAGGCAAGTCAGGCTTGTTGGGGTTTGCTCCACTCGCTCTGCCTGCCTCACTGCCCTGAGCTCCGTCCCCCTCTCTGGCCCTGGCCAAGGATGTGGGATGAAGCTGCTTCCTGACTTCAAGGTACTCGCTGTGCCGCACTTCGTGCCCGCTTTGTCTGTTGGTGCGGCATCCACGGCTTGAAGAAAATCCGCTCGCCAGTCTTGTCCGGAAAGGAAAGGAGCTGGCCCCACTGGGAAAGGGGGTCAGACCTCACCAGCCCCAAGGCACACAGCAACTCAGTGTAGACAGGAAAGGCTTGGGGCAGGGGTCTGCTTAGCAAACTTTGTCCCCTCTATCTTCTGAGGCTCCAGTATCTGATGGAGCTGGAGGCATAAGGAACCCATTTCACAGATGCCGAGTACGAGCCCATGACTGGACAGCAACTGGGTTGAGGCAGAACCATGCGTGGGCACAGTTGTAGTCTATCTCTGTTGTTAAAAATCTTTTTAAAAGAGATGAGTTTGTTTTGTTTTGTTTTGAGACAAGGTCTCCCTGTGTGGTTCAACCTGTCAAAGCCCAGGCTGACCTTGAATTTTCAGAGATCCTCCTGCCTCAGCCTCCTGAGTCCTGGGATTACAAGGATGTGTGACCAAACCCAGTAGTTTTGGGGCATTTTTTCTTTTTTAAGATGATTAATTTGTTATTTTCATATTATTTTGTTATAAAATTTTGTTTTATTTTTTCGTAAAATAGTGTCCATGGGGACCTGGGTTAATTAAATGAAAAGAAAAGCCATGTATGGTGGAATACATGTAATCCCAGCACAAGGGGAGGCTAAGGCAGGAAGATCCCAAGTTTGAGCTCAGCTTGGGAAACTTGGTGACTTAGTGAGACTCTTGAAATACAAAGAAAAAAAAGGGGGTTACCAAGCACGCGGTGCCATACAGAGCCCTAGGGTCAATTCCCAGTACCAGGTACACGCTCACACACAAATCAGGCGTAATGGCACAAACGTAACACCGAGAGAAGCTGAGGCAGGAAGACCACAGTTTCAAATGCTTCCTGAATGACTCAATGAGGCCCTGCCTAAAGTCAAAGGCCTGGGGATGTAGCTCAGTGGTAGAGCATCCCTGGGTTCTAGCCCCAGGACCACCATGAGTAAATAAATGAATAAATAAATAAAATATTGATTTTAATTGCTGAGTTGCTGGTAGACTCCTGATGCCCCAAAATTAAAAACACCACGAAATAAAAAAAAAAAAACCCACAAAATTAAAAAAAAACAAAAACACAAATTTAGCCAAGGATTTAACTCAGTGGCATAAGCGCCTGCTTGGCAAGCGCGTGGTCATGAGTTTGATCTCTGGCACCACCAAAAAAATGGGGGGCTTTAGGATTGCCACCTCAATTGTCTGCGGAGTTGGGCTGCCCAAGATCATGCAGCAGCAGCTGTGAGCCACCTCCCAGTGCAGATTTCTGGCCCTGGTTGGGGCGGACGGACAGACAGACGGATGGATAGACAGAGAGACAGGGGGCTGATGCGGGCTGAGTCCTCACCTGCAGTCTCAGCTCCTTTGGGTTCCCCAGGCCGCATCAGGGAGCCCTGCCAGGCTTCAGCTGTCCCCCTCCGAATTGAGCGAATGGGAGATGAAGCGGAGCGTAGAGCAGGCCGCGAGGCAGAAAGAACGAGAAACGAATCTGTGACGCTAGAGGAGAAAGGGAATGCTTTACTCGGTGCCTCAGTACTGAGGTTTCAGTCCCTCAAAACCACAGCAGACAGACAAGGCCTGGCACGCGTCTTGTCTGTTTGTGTTTGTTGGTTAATTGCTTGTTTTTTTGTTTGTTTTTTTTACTAGGGATCGAACTCACAACCTGAGCTTGCAAGACAGGCGTGTATGCCGCTGAGCTAAACCCCCGGCCCAATTGCTTGGTTTTTTGAGACAGAGTCTTGTTATATATATAGCCCAGGATGGCCTCAAACTGATGGTGATCCTCCTACCTCAGGCTCCCAAGTGCCGGAATTATAGGTGTGCTTTACCTTAGAATTGACCATTGAATTCAGGGAGCACTGAGCCACACCCCTAACCCTGTTTATTATTTTATTTTGATACAGGATCTCTTCTTAAATTGCCTGTGGAACCAGCTCTTTCTTCCTCTGAGGCAAGCTGTAATACCAGCACTTAGCAGGCTGAGGCAGGAGGATCTCCTTGAGTTTGAGGCCAGTCTGGACTACATAATGAGACCCTGTCTCAAAAAACAAAAACAAAAATTGTGTCACCACACTAGCTGAGCTAGTATTTATAAATGTTTAAGATGCACTGTACGTCTTCAGGTTTTCTCTTGTGAGCTTTTGGGGAGAGAGAAAAGAAAACTGTCACCCTTTCCGGTCCCCTGAGGTCAGGCTCTGTGAAGTGAGCTATGGTCAGGAGCTGTCCTTGTGCCCCTGCCCCACACCCACCCACCTTTCCTTGAGGTCATACTGCATGTGGAGCCTCACCCAAGCCTGCAGCCTGTCTTCCTTTCTGTCACGACCAGCTAGGGAGCACCCCAGGCTCACAGAGGTCTGTCTCACCTCCAGTGCAAGCATCCTTTTTCCAGGCACATGGCTAGTTTAACTTTTATTAATAGCAGTAAAGGAGTTGTACATAACAGTCGAATGTTTATTCAAAAATTTACCCTATGGATTTGCTGTCTGTTTTGTTTTTGAGTCACAATATAGGCTGGCCCAGGCTGGCCTTGAACTCCCTGTGATCCTCCTGCCTCAGCCTCCCAAGTGCTGGGATTACAGGCATGCACCACCACACAGTTCATGGCTCCATTCTTCAGGAAGGTTTAAGAGAAGGCTCTGACACCCGGGTGTGGTGGCACACACCTATAGCACCAGCGCTTGAGAGGCAGAGTACCTCCAGGAGTTGGAGACCAGCCTGGGCTACATCATAGTGAGTTCAAGTACGTAGTAAGACCCTGTGTCAAAAAATAAAAAATAAGGGACAGAGAAAGACTGAGTAGTGAGCCCGTGGTTCAGCCTCTCCCCCGTGCTTACCTCGCCCTAAAGAAGATAAAGACCCCACGCTGGGCACCGAACGTGGAACCGGCTCTCTCCTGCTCTGGGTTTCCATTCTGCAGTGACTTGACGGGGTACAGCAGTGGGTGGGAAGGCCAGAACGTGCGATTATTAGAAGGAAAGGCAGAGCCCTCCCTCAATGAGGGGGCAGGAGCAGGCAGAGAGGCCCCAGGGCAGTGCATACGCACCCTGGTGGGCGGCAAGGGAGGGACTGCAGGATGTGTGTGCAGGAACCCAGCTGGCTGCCTTGCCGCTGTTTCCCCAGATGCCAGTGGATTTTAGAGCCCTTGGTCTCTTGTGGCTCTGCGCTGATGCCCCTGAGTTAAATCCCTGGCTGTCTCTCATTTTCTTTCTTTCTTTCTTTTTTTTTTTTTTTTTTTTTTTTTTGTCTTTTTGAGACAGGGTCTCTCTAATGCAGTTCAGGATGGCCTTGAGCTCATCTTGTAGTGTAGACTGGTCTCGAACTTGCAAGGATCCTCCTGCCTCAGCCTCCGGAGTGCTGGAATTACATGCGTGAGCCACCACGCCCGGCTTGTTTCTCATTTTCTTGTTGTACCCAGGCTGGCCTCAAACTTGCAATTCTCCTGCCTCAGCTTCCTGAACATCTGTGATCACAGGTGTGTACCACTGTGCCAGGCTTAAATTTGCTTTACCATGGCCTTCCGTAAGAAGACTATATTTTATTTTATTTATCTTTTTAATTTTTTCTTTAATTGGTGGTGCTGGGGGTTGAGCCTATGGCCTTTCACTTGCTAAGCCACACCCCTGACCCCACAAAACACACTTTTTGTGTGTGTATTTTTGAGACAAGGTCTCACTATGCAGTTCAGGCTGGCCTTGAGCACACTTTGTAGTACAGGTTGGTCTCGAACTTGCAACCATCCTCCCGTCTCAGCCTCCCAGGTGCTGGGATTATAGGTGTGTGCCACCACACCCGGCT